TATTGCATTAAAAATAAAAATAAACAAATGGTAAAATTATTAACACTGCATATCTTTTTGTTTATAGATATATATAGATACATATACGTACCACAATGCAAAAGCATGAAAATAAAAATTAAAGATCTTTTCTCTCTCAAGATGTGGCAATGACAATTTGTAAATGAAAGCTATTGTCAAGAAAAACTTTTTTTTTTTTTTTTTTTGGATTACAACATTTATTAACTTCTCACACTGCACAAGAAAGCATTTTCCCCCCTTTGGTGCTGATGAGAAAGTAACAAAATATTTATTCAAATTCTTGCCCTTCCCTTCCCCCCAAAAAATAGATTACAATATATATATATATATTAAGGCTGGGTAAGGACTTTTCTCGACACAACACGGATTTTGTTAGGTCAAAATATTAGAACCACAATTATTTTTCATATCATAAAATGTTTCTAACATTAACAAAATCTTAAAATGAGAGAGGGACAATTTCTTAAAAAATCTGCAGATAATTTTGACCTTGAATTTAAACTTAACATTAAATCGTTTCATTACCATACACTTTGTATGTTTGTATACCATATCTTTGTATGTTCTAAATAAATGTTTTCATTTTATCTTTAATCTTACTAAGAATGATTAAAAATTTCTTGCTGCAATAGTATATTCTTCTACAAAATAGAGTGGAACACGAATTTGGACTCTAATTAGAAATTATAAAATATTCATTTGTCAAATAATATTAACTAAGTAAATATAATATTTTTACTTGAATGAAAATTTGCAAGAGACTCACAATATAAGAAACTCATACAGCTGAAAATTTGCAGAATATTTTAGAAGACATGAAGAACATACCAGAATACTTATCAAATTTTCAGCAATATTATTAGTTCCTTCCTAAATCATCCATAAAACTTTATTTGCATAATGTCAGAAAAATTCTTCAGATCCAGTTAATTCTGAGGTTATTGGCAGTAATTCAAACTTTGATACTCCTTTTAAGCTTCAAAAGCATCGAATCATTTGCAGATATATATTATTAATATATAAGCCAGCAATAACTACTAACTCACCACTTACAAATATGGGAAAAAATGAAAAAAAAAAAAAAAAAAAGAGAGAGAGAGAGAGAGAGAGACTGAATAAATCAAGATGTAGAACATTTATCTGTACACTGCCAAACTAACAAGCTTAATTTTCAATTAAAACATGCACTTATATTTTATAAAATTATATTCTCTCTACAGATCAAAAATATTAATAATAAACAAACACATCAAGATAATTCAACATTAAAAAATACACTATGCATCAGAAGAAATGTACATCATATTCTAAAATCTACAGTAATGAATAAATTGTTTTTCATGTACAAATCAAAATAATGAATAAAACAGAAATTAAGAACAGTTATAAATTTTTCTTAAATCAGTGGAGTTATTTTTCATTTAACACATGATTTTGCAATAACAAAAAATTCCCCCATATTTTGTGTTGAATGCAGATAGCACACTCCCAAATAAGAAAATCATAATAACAATAACTCAGACAAAATTATATGAGTCTTAGTTTAAAAAAAATGTTGAACACAGACATAACATCTAAAACAATATATAAACACAAATTCCGAACAAATTGCAATATTTCATGTTGTACTCTGAAAAAAATACCTCACAGTCATAAAAACAAACATATTTATATTCATAAATCATTCTGAGCAAATAAAGTATGTATGTATGTGTAAACATATGTGTGAGTTTGTGTGTATGTAAAATAAAACACATATTATTCAGGCAAAACCTTATATGCATTGGCACACATGGGTATATACAAAATGACTATCAAAAGCTAACATCAAGAGCTGTGGCAGGATAAGTAGGGATGGTTAAAATTTCTTATATATATAATTTAGGAAGGGAAAAAAAGAATTAAACTATAGCATGATAAGATAAAATATTTTATTTAAATATTTAAATATCTTATTTTATTCTCATTGAGCCTTTCTCATTAAAGTGATATACCTCTAACTTAAATAGCGAGCATTTTATGAGTAAGATGCTAATTCGATAACCAAACCTTAATTCATCGGCAGTTTACTACAGTCCCCAAAACTTTTACAGTAAAAATGTATTTCGTTAATGCAAAATTTATATTATTAGCAAAAAATTAGTTATTACGTAAATAAAATCAAATTTATCTATAGAAGATAAATAACGCATGGTGATAGAATAACCTTTTATTTATAACGGGGCTACAAATATTCATGAATGTTATCACTTGGATGTATTATAAATTAAATATATTTTAGATTACATTAATTACGCATACTACACTAATTTCCAAAAATTATGGAAAAATCACAAAAGTAGTGATAACTCATTCAAAAATTTGCCAATCCATATAAAATTTTAATATGTTGTCAAAATTGCATGTTTCAGAGCAAGACTGCAAATTTTGCTGTGATATTGAGATAAGAAATCTGGGACAGCCAATTTATAACAATGACCTTCAGGTATCAATTTTGTGAAGAACTGTAATGGAGAGCTATTGGGAGACTAGATGCCGGACAAAGTAAGAGAAAAGTGGCCAGAAGGCTAAATATGAGTGTCTGTCTGCAATTCATAGACTTTGAAAACAATTTCTAACCACAGATTCGGCACCCAGGAGGTTCAGCCAAGGATGGTCAATTGCTATGACAAATGCTGATGATAGATATTCTATGAAACTGATAGACTGCATAATTGACAGCATTGCACATTGCTGCATGTGTTCTATTGCTTCTAGAAGAGATCATATTCCATACTGAAAGTAATTTTCCTATACCAAACTGACACATCTGGTTTGTTCATTTTATACATACAGCAAGACCCCGCCTAACGCGGGGGATACGTTCCATAAAAGTGGAGTGTAATGCGAAACAGCGCTAAACGAGGCTATCTTAACACGTAAATAATGGGGTTAGGGGAAGATGGATAGAAAATTGGTTAGGTATTAAATTTAAAAATGTTTTTTTAATAAAAATAAAACCAAACATTTATTTCTTACAAAAATAAAAACAATATAAACGAATATACTTATAAAAACAAATAAAATTCTCAGTCAGATCATTCAGTCTATTCTGTGTTTCCAATTTTCTGCCTTTTTGTCAAAAAGGCATTATGATAGATTGGCTTAATGGCATATTGCGTTCAATTTCGTCATCAATCCATATAGACAGTCGTTTTTCTATTTCCTCTATAATGTTATTTCTAGAATAGGTAATTCTAGTTGCAGAGCTTGACGTAGTTGCAGTTGCCGATGACAGTATTTTTTCTTTATTCTTAAGAATTGTCCTTATTATTGAAGATGCCAAATTCAATGCAGCACTAATTTGAGATTGACGTTCACCAGAATCTAATCTTCTAATCACTTGCATCTTAGTTTCCAGTGAAATGCTTTTTCTGATTGCTTTCTTTTCTTGTTTTTTATTATCGCCCATGATAAAAACCAAAGATCATAATATTTGTCACTGTATTAATCGTTATAGTATTATATAAATTTATACTTACAATAATGTCAACAAATGTTTCAAATGATAAAAATGCATCTGTACAGCACCGCACCAAACAAGAAACACAACTACACTGTATTGGATATGTTATTTGGAAACCTAGGGCTGCGCACAATTTCGGGGAATCCCCGTAGTTCATGCTGCAAGCAATTTCGGGAAATCCCCGGGTTGAAATAAAAGAGCGCTAAAATGAAACAGCATTAAGCGGGGTCTTACTGTATGCTTATTTCTATAACATCATAACTGTCTGGTAATTTCTTTTCAAGTTATTTAATACATTACTATGTGTTGTATACTGTTGGTCAGTTTCATAAAATTCTAGATGCAACTTTTTGAGTAATCATCATTTTTGTAATTTTTCCTTAATTAATGATAACCAATATATTTAAAATAAAATTTAAATTATTAAGAAGTGTATTTATTGCTTTTAAACTGTTCCATTTTTAAGCAACTTACACATTGATAAAAAATCTTGTATTTTACTAAATATATTCTTCAGAAATGTCTGCATGTAAGGCACATTGCAGATAATTTTTTTTTTAAAAATTATGTTTTAATTTATCTACATTTGCCAAGGTGGGTGGAAGACATATGAATGGTATAGTATGACATTTCTTAGGCAGCTAAACACAGCAGTAATAATAATAATAAAAAAAGTTACAACTTGATGCCTGCTTTCTATATTATGAATATCAAAGCATTCTATTATAAAAATTAGTTATAAAGATATGTTAGAAGCTTTCCCCTTTAAAACTTTTGATCAAATGCACAAGAAATTATAGCTATTATCACCAAATTAATAAAATACATAACTAAACACTACATAAGGATATAATGAAAATTCTTGTTTTCATTTACACTAATAGGTCAAATAAAACTGCTAATCAATTTTTAGTTTAATTTATTTAAAGCAATATATTTTATACATACCTTTACGTCAATTACGCCTAAGATAGGTATTATTAAATAAGAAGGGGGAGATTAAAAATAATTTTCCACTAAAAATAAAAATTGCAAATCGATTATATTACTTAAATATGGTGGAGAAATTGCTTTGTAAACCACTTGAACGCCCCAAATATTTAAAGAACCTTACAAAATTAATTTGTATTATTGACCTTTAGAGAAGTATTTAATATATGTTATTTGATTCTCTTGATATTTTCACAAAAACATAATTTTAAAAATAACAATCAAAATTACTACCATTCAGTAACTTGCCATAAACAAATCTTGACAAATCTTTAAAGTGCAATATTTGTTACTGAATTATATCTTTACAATGAATCAGAGAGTTATTTCAACTTAAATCAAATTTGTTTCAATTGTTTTCATAAATTTAGAAGTCCACCAGCATTACAAAATTTTCTTAAAAAATACTCAAAAATATAATATGCCTAAATATAGTTTTAAAATGTAAGCATTTTAAAATACACACATTTTTAACGTTTTAAAACAAAAGCAGAGTTATACCACTTAAAAAAAAAAGGCTCAGTCATTTATTTGAAAATAAAAGATAAAATTTAGGACCTAATGTTAATAACACTGCAGTACATATTATATTTAAAAAAAAACCCTCATATATTCTTTGAATTTATATGCACATAATTTAAATTGAAGTCTTATCTAACAGCCCATTTAATATTTAAACAATCCTCATTCAGTTAGAATGAAAATGTGGGTAAAATGTTTCAAATATAACTCAGTTAAAACGTAAAGAAAATTAGCAATGTATGCTTTCATTAAAAATGCACTGCACATGTATAATATGATAAATTCTTCTAATCTTTTTCGAAATAATTCAGCCCTGAGAGAAAAATAGCTAAGCAAATGCTGAGAGCTATTGCCTGTTTTCTTTCTTTGTAACAGCTCGAGTTGCTTCTTCCGGCAGACGAGATGGATCAGACAGTATATTGGTCGTTGTGCTCAAGTGGCGTAATGAATTCAGCACTCCTGGCAGAGAATAATGATTATTTATTTATAACATGTTTCTGCACAATCCAATTCACATATCAAAAAGTCAACAGTATAACAACCATGAATGCAGTTTTAACATGCTTTTCATTTAGTTTATTATCTTTTTTATATGTTTAGTTCACACCTTGAAATTAATTCCTGACTTCCTGATTTTCTTGAAAATTTAATACAGTACAAAGTCCGTAATCGGGACTTTGGTGATTCCGGATTAGGGGTTTTTCCGGATTATAGATCATCAATTTAAATCTGATAAGATGGCATGAAGAAATTATACAATTAAAAATATGAAACTGTAATTTATGAAATAAAGAGCAATTATGGTCTAAAGGGTATCAAAATTTACAAAAAAAAAACTTAATATTTATTTGTTTACTTTATTAAATCTTTCTTTCAATGCAAGTTGTTTAAGATGCTTCCACAAAAAATTCAAAAAGTGCCTTTTCCTTTTTGCTTATGTCATACTAGAATGCCCGGCGGTCTTCTTGGGACGTTAATTAGCCGAGATATTAATTAAAAACTAATTTTGCCCTACGTTTTCCCTACATTTTCTACTTTCTTGGGTTTTTCCTATTACAGGGATTTGGCTAAGTGGCAAATTTTTTTTTCTTGAACATCTATGGAATGGCGCCGAGTTGAAATTCGAGACATGTATCCTCGGATTCCAAAAATTTCTCCGAATCCATTGATACCGTTCTCATCTTCGTACGACTTTAATCGGTCAAGACATTAATTAAAAACTGTGGAAACATTAATTTCCGCGCTCATTTTTCTCAGTGGCAACAATAAACTATCGCCAACACACACTTTAGCCACTTATATATATAAAGATACAGCTGACTTTCCAATGTCATACTCCTCGCATAATTTTGAGACGGATGTGCCTTTATCCATTTTTTGCAGCAATTCCACTTCTTGTTTGAGGGACATCAAAACATGCTTTCGCTTTGTAGATCCTTTGGCAGCTCCAGAATTGGAAACTCTTTTTGACATAATTTTAAAGAAAGTTCAAGCTTAATTTTTATAAAATTGCTCTAACAGTCTGCAAAAAATAATAAGCCGGATCCAATTAGAAGATTAAGGAACAGCGCAATCTGCAACATTAAATGAAATGCCTTAGAACCAGTAAAAATAATTTTAGCCTAGCTTATACTGTCCGTTATACATTAAACGCACATGCATAAAGCATACAAAAAAAAAAAAAGTTTGTGGCTTTGAGGACCGGATTATAGATCATTCCAGATAATGGACGTCCAGATTACGGACTTTGTACTGTACATGTATTGACAATACAATATCCCAGTGAGATTTTTTTTCAACATTCAAGATAGTACTTTATATACTTATTTAGTATTGAAGTTTTCTCACATAGCCTTCTTTAGTTATCAAAGCATAAAAAATTTTGATTTTTGAATCATCAGATAGATCAAAATATAATTTTCTAAATGAAATTTTTCAGGGGTTTATAACGTAATTTATCAAATTTTAGTGAGTTTATTTTAGAGCTAATACACACCGCTTAACAATGATAGATTTTTAAATTAAAGAGTTATTCTTCCAATTTTAGCAACTTCATGATTTTAAGTGATGAACAGAAATTTGAATGAATTGAAATCAATCTTACTCCAGTGAATAAATCAGAAAATTCTGACAGAAAGATGTTGCTGTGCCCCATGTTACTAAGCTATTAAGAAGGAATAATTTTCTATATTCAGAGACAATAATTTTTTCGACAAGCTGGCTGCTAAAATGGTAATTTTTACAACTATAAATGAAATTGATTTTTCTCAATGCTAACTTTTCACTGATATCTCAGTTTTAATAAGATTAAAGTCTTATTTGCAATTAAGAAGTTTCAAATTCTTTGCACGTTTGTTATTAGATATCAGAAATCCTGCATAAAATTAAGATTTGTACGTTTTTTAGAAAAAATATTTAAATTAAAAACTAGTTAGATTTTCCTGCCTTTCTATTAGGCATGGTAATATGAAATTTTCATTAAATTGCATAAAGCATTTTAAATTCTATGTAGATTTTTATGTCAATGAACACACACACACACACACAAAAAAAAAAAAAAAAAAAAAAAAAAATTAAGCAAAAATTTTGATATTTTAAAATGTAATAGCAAATTAAAAAAAAAAAAAAATTGTCCTAGTCTTCAGTGTATTTCGCATCTAATGAATCCCAAAATTTCTCTGAACACTGGTCAATTGTGAGTGCGAGGCTAGTTTCAAGATAAAAATTAAGGATGCAGTAACACATTTCTCCCTTTTTTTTACTGCATAGTTTGTGAAAGACACTTCCAATTAACATTTTCTACTAATAAAAATTGAATTCTGTGCACAAAATTGTTAAAACTGGAATAATTTCTGGAAAAATTAAAAAATTTTAAAAGAGTTTTAAGGTACACTTTTTGTAATGATTTAAACCATGCAGTCCAATTTTTTCAGCACTCAGGGTAGATTTTAGAAACGAGGTTTTTTACCAGGCTGCATAAACTTTTTTTTTTTTAAACTAAAGTAAACAACATATATGAGAAAATAAAATCAGGAAATAAAACATATTTATTAGATTAAGCTTAGATTTCAAATAATAAATAGATAAATAAATAAATAAATAAATAAATTTTAGTGAGATGTCTAGTTTTGTTTGGTAGAACTAAGAGCATCATTGTCAATACTGACTCAAGTTATTGCTACATACAAACAATTTTTCAAATTAACATAAGTGATTCATGTTCTTACCTGTGATTGGCTATGCTTCATCTGACAGCTGTTCACAAGAGTAAATATTTTTAAATGACACAATCACTAGTAGGGCGTATTTGTAAAATGCAGTACACTTTTCCTTGTCCAAATGTTTTGTAGAAAGCTTCCAAACCAATCTGTTAGAATTTCTCTTTCAACTGTGCATCACAACACATTTTACAATGTTCCAGGTAATAAACTCACGTCTATGGAGAATGGTGTTGAAAATTCAGAAGAAGTACACAATTCTTATTAAAATCTTAACATCAGTTTTCAAATTCAAGGTTCAAGATCAATATTAATGAAGTGTATGACTTCTCAGTCTTGCCATGTCATGCAGGATTGGTGCATGATGATAAAATTTTCTTTATTGGGATATGATAGTTGTTTTATGCTTAATGCATACACAAACTTTTTTTAATATAACCCAGCTCTGTGGACCTCAGATCAGCCATCCATGATTTAAGCAGCTTGTTATATACATACATATTTATTTAACAGACATTTTCAATTACACATTTAACACTTTGACTGCCACTTGAGTTTATAAGAAAAATCTCTGTCAGGTAACGAATACTGCCATACCATGTGCCAACTTTTTAGGAGTTCAGAATGTCTAAAATGAAATGATTTGAATCAAGCATTCAGTTGAAAATCTTCCCTCAAGAAGAAAGTATCTAAGAAGGTGTGTGAGATTCAAATTTTTTTTTCCTCTTTATTTTTCCTGTACTGATGAATGGTTAAAAAATTTTTGTGTTAAAATTGTTGCCCTAATATTTTGGAATGTCAAAGAAGAAAAAAAAGAGTTACATCTTAGTGAACCATATAGCAATGAAGAAGAGAGCTGTTACAAGGCTTATAAAAATTCTGGTAGTTGTGATAAGGAACAGTCCAGACTTTTCAGAAAGAGAAATGTAAATAGAATAAAATCATCAGATTTTGATTCAGATACTGATACATGCAGTGATAATGAATGAGATGCAGATACTATTGATCATATTTTACAAGAATTGGTTGTTGAGGAAGAAAGAGAAGTTGATACCAAAGAAAGTATATTTCCATTTAGCGAATAGAACCAATTTAGTTGCCAATATGAATGACACAGTTCGATCAGAATTTTTGATTTCACCCAAAAGAAGATGACAAGGCAGTCAACATGTTAAATTTGTTAAAATATTTGTGCTCTGAGCAACACTTACCAGGCCTTAAAGCTACAAGGGAACAGTGCTGGTCAAGCCAAATCAAAATTGATTTGCACATTTCGTCAACATCGGCTGTAGATACATTGTTGTTGTAAGATTCAACCAGTGGCTCCACCATTAAGCTGAACTAATAATCAAAGTTAAGATAAATGATATACATATATATGTGTGCATTAATTTTATATTTTGGATTATAAATCTATGTAATATTACACAACTGTAACAAGCATCCTATTCTTATATTTTCATTAATTTGTTTCATTCTAATACAATTCAAGTGCAACATTTGATACAAAAAACTAGCAATATGAAAAACTCCTAATTACAATCTAATCTTTAAAGAATACTTTATTACATCTTTAAAAATTAAAAGCATAATAAAAATTTTTAGAAAAATCACTCAGTTTTCTTTTTTAAATAAAAAAATTATATATCTATTGTTGCAATCCATAAAGCTAAATCTACCACCAAATCAAATTAAATATTCAATTCAAAAAAATTTGAATTTTAAAAGGTTTGATGCTTTTTATGCATTTCTTTTGTCAATGTAAATTCACATAAACAGAAGAATATTAAAATATTATACATTTCATTTGAATAATATTAAAAGGAAAATATATTTATAGGATATCAGACTGTAATTTCACACACCAGATTTCAATATCACCATCTGATTTTATTCTGGATGAAGATAATGGTATACAGAAATAATAGCTATAAATTTTGTGATCAATGTATCACAGGGTTTTAGGAACATATTCTACTGATCACATTTATAATATAAAATTATACTTATTGAAAAATGTTTTTGTTAACATTTTGAAACAAATACAAGCCATAACATATTCAATCATTTACTTTAAACAACAAATGATCTTAATCACCACTGATTGGAAGCACTATGCACTCATGTTTTGATATTCATAAATAATAGATATGATTTCAATACTAATCCTCTTCAAGGTTATTTGAAAACAAGAACCTTTTCATGGTACTAAGAACAAAAAAGTTAGAAAGGATACAATCCAAAATTTCCAATTCTGAAGAGTCTGTTGTCGCACATATTCTTCAAACATTTCTCTCATTCGATTTGTCCTTTGGCAAGGAACAGGAGCACCAGAAGCAGGAAGCTGACTCTGATACATACTGAAATAGAAAATAAAACTAAATTTTTATTTAAAACAATTAATAATGGATGTATAACCTGTTTTAACCATTTACATATCTTCATATAATCAGTTTGATAAATCAAGCAAATTTCTCTTCATATAAATTATTTACCAATTCAGCAAATCACTCATAAACTCAACTAAACTAGGCCGGCCTCTACCAATGGCAGAAATTATACTTTGCTCTGAGTAAAAGTGCAAGGAGAACACACACAACAACAGCATTATAGAAAAATTCAACTCAGGGTTCCAAAATCGTACTTCTTAGATTTTTCCAAAATGATACCAGCTTACTAATTAAAAAAAAAAAAAAGGCAGAAAATTTCAACAATTCTTGAAAGGTATCTCTAATTATTAAGTTATTTTCATAATTTCAACTTTTATTTACACAAAATTAATATATAAGTAATAAAGATTAAGTATTTCAAGACATAAATTAAAAAAAAATATGTTACCACACATATTAGAAATTATACAGAACAAATTAAAAAAAAAGTAATTTAAAAATAATAAAGGAATAAAAAATAAACAAATAATAATTAAAATATTTAGATAAAATTTACAATAATAAATGCTTAGCACTCTTTTAAAGTATTGTAATTAAAGAGGAAAATTAATGACTTTTTTTACCTCATATAAAAACAATTACTTAATTAACCCTTAGCTCTGCACATTCTTGAAAGACTGCCTACCAGCAACTCTGGCACATTTTTGACACAGAGCATCTCTTAATTTGCATGGAAAGAATTACATGTGCTTGTGAATGCTTTTGGTTTCATTCATTTTATAAATACATATATTATCTCTTGCAAATGAAACATAAATTTTACATTTTATGATTCACCATCATGTGATCTTTGAAAACAATCCTCCATGTGCACTCTGGGTTTACTTGGTATCCTGTGTTTCCACATCATGTCGAAATTGCCAAATGCATTTGTTAGATATTTCTTTCAAGCTTAGATAATTTTCTGCACAATTGTTAGTTTCTTTTATGATTTCATTAAGCAATTCATCCATGAATAACAATTTAAAATACTGTATTGGCTGCCAAATATATGAAAGAACTTGTGGTCTGGTGATTCCTAGTGATACACTAAAATGTATTCTTTATGGCATAACTAATTCTTTTGTTACATTACACCATTCATATAAGTCCTCTAATGAATCTTCACTTTCAATAATTCTCATTCTTTATCTCTTAAGTGATATAATTTTGCTACCACTATCTGAAGTATCATAATCAACATTGTCTTTTAAATATCTTTTAATACTTGAAATTCAAGCATGTCTTCACTATCACTCACCTCTCAATTTTCATAACAACATTTATTTGTCTCCATGCTTTTAACCATAAAAAGGTAATAAAATAATTTAACCTCAAACACTTCAGACATTTTAACTACAAATAACAATCACCAACACTGACAACAGCATAGCATCTTAAGCATAATCATTTTAAGAACATTTGGCTCTGTAGCAGCTATTGAAGTTAGTGAATAACTGAGCGATATCTCTGTACAGAGCCAAAAGAACACTGAGGATTAAAAAAAAAAAAAAACTTTAAACTCATCACATTTTAAAATCAAAAATCAATTTATGTTAAAACGAGAGCACAATCAATTTTGAATATTTATATTAATGCACAGATACAGATAGGATATTATTAAGGTATTATTTACAATTTTACTGTGATTAAGCAATATTTATAATTTTTAATATCATTAGAATATTTGCAGTTATTTATGGTTAAACAAATCCTATATATATATATATATATATAGGATTTGTTTATATATATATATAGGATAAATTGAAAAAATACAAAACTATTTGAAGTGGGGGATTAAGGATTAGAAACTCCTCCTTGAAGAAAGATTCAGTCTTAGTCTTAAAGAATCCTTCATGAAGAATTAACAGAAAAGAACTCACACAATAATGTTATAAGTGGAAAAATTCTTAAATTACTATCTTCTTTCATCAATAATCTATTTATGAAATTTAAAAACTTGTGCTCACATTTTTATCCAATCATACATTTGCAAGTCTTGATCCAAAATCGATACATACGAGTATGTAAATTTTTATTTAGTTTTCTACCTTGACAGTTTTATTGGCTTAATAAATTATTTCAGGATGCATTAAAAATTTACAAAACTGCAAGTATAACATTAATTTATGTGCATGACAATAATTTCTCTGGTTACATCTTTTACATTCAAATTTTTCAAATTCATTAAATCCTATCTCATACAATGAAAAATTTGAAACATAATTTAAATATTGTATTATTATGGTTGGTTATTTAAAATATACTGCTAACACAATTAAAATTATTTTAAGCTAATTAAACCATTTTTTCTCAGAACAGTCACTGCTTAGAACAGGTACCTTTTATACAGTTTCGTAACCTGTGTAGAAAGGTGCCAATCACAAAACTGTAAAAGTTTCATACGACCCAGTGTAGCAATAGTTATTTTCAGATGACAATTGAATAAGTAAATTAATGTTATGTCTACAAAGGGGGAAATCTTAACTTTCAAATTTAAAATTAATTTACATGTGAGAAATATGGTTGAAAATAATATTGTTACAGAAATCAGAAAAATTCCATTCAAGAAATATTATGAGTAATTTTAGTACATAAAAGCTAGAAAAAACCCAGAAAAGCTAAATACACTTGATGATACCAATCAAATTATAAAAGACAAATTAACTTGCAGTCTGGAAAACTTCAAATCACAATCACAAACAAACAAAAGTCTAAAGCTAATTTTTAATTAAGTAAATATAAAAAAGTAAATATGAAAAATTATATAAATGTTTTTCTTAAATAAACGTAATATCTACAACTGCCAATTCATAAAATGAAATCCTTTATGTAGAATGACATCAAAACATAAAAAAGGAATTTCAATTTTAAAAGCTCTGTATTCATAAAGCATTTCTGAAACATACCAGCACTAGTGGACAAAGTTTCACAATGGCTAACCAATTTAGTAAGCAATGAATGAGTGGCTGGCTGCACACTTGTTAGGAATAACTTATTCCTTATGATAATTAAATACTTGTCATATCATGCATACTGTGCAGCACGTGTAAGCTCCGTCTACTATAACGAGACTATTTTAAATAATGATATTGTAATTATTTCCATTTTATTATATATATATATATTCTGTAAATAGAAAGTTTCAGTTTTCCAATTAATATAGAACTATCAGGTTAAAGGAAGTATATTATTGCTTAGATAAAATTTTAAAAAGATAAAGAAAAAAGAGGATTTCAATCTGCAAATTATTACACAATATCACATATATCCAGGTTCATACTGAAAGCAGATGATAATGCACACAAGTAGAATTAAAAATTCTTCAGCAGATAGATGTTAGAGACATGTTTTATTCATCATACTTATAGTTTAAAATATCACATGCTACAAAATGTTATTAAAATACATAAACAAAATTAATTTTCAAATGATTTATTTTGTTGCAATGATGAGCAACATACTTTTATGATGTCAAAGATAGATAAAAGGCATTTCAAACTATCAATGGACAAGTGCTCTCATGTTTCTGACCTTTATTTGTGGCAGATAAATCTTTATACACAATGAAAACAACAACTCTTCAATGTGTTAAAAAAAAAAAAAAAAAAAAAAAAAAGTCTTCCCCCCCCCAATTTTTTTTAATTCAGTCTCAAAAAAGATGTTATAATCTTGTACTAAATGCATGACAATAATTAACAGCAAAACAGTGTAAACACTATCGAACTTGAAACATTTGAAGTGAAGAAATACTGTATGCTTAGAAAGCATGCAATTATATAATAACATAATTAACTATGTCTGTGTTGCTTGGAATGCATACAACACAGACATGGTTAATTATATTGCAAATTTATTTTCTACCTTACAAGTTAAAGCAATTACCTCACAGCAAAATTTTTGGGTCTATATATTGAACTTGAATTGCCCCCTCTTCCACCTCAGTCAATAAGAAACTAGAATTTAAACAAAATTTCAGTTCTACACTAATTTAAGGAATGAGTGCAATTTAACTCTTCCTTAACCCATTCATAATATATCTGGTAGCCTATTTGATGTTGAAAAACTTCTACAATACTTTGTGTAACTTACATGAAGAATTATGAAATGAAGCAAAGCTTTTTTGAAATGACATCAAAATGGAAATCTTGAAGTTATTTTCAGTTTTCAATAATCATATAGTATGCAATCTACAGCTTTTAGTTAATTATATATTATTCAGACGGCAGCACTAAAATTGGTTGTTGTTTTAATGATTCATTCTTCTAGCCATTTTATCACAGTTTCGAGTTTAAAAATAGTGCTTTGGTGATGCCATCTAAGAGATAAACAAATAACTAAAAACGGTAAATCAGATACCAAATGATTGCTCTCAAAAGCTAACAGGTTTCCAGCAAAATGATTTGAAGACTTGTTATAAACTAATGAAGAGGCCTTTCACAAGTGAAATGGTTCATTTTCTGAGAACCAAATTGTTTCTGATTAGAAGGTCAAGAAAAATTTATACCATTTGACAAAAGAATTAAAGATTATTATAGAAAAAGAAAAGAAAAAAACCCTTCATCTCGACCTCACCCTATTAAATACACAACTTATGTTATTTGAAAGTGTTAAAAAAAAAGAAAATATGGGCAAATTATATGGAAGTTTATTACAAAATTCCACCAACACCAGCTGGAAAATAAGCATATTTTCACTGCTTAACTTTCATTAAAAAAGCCTGGCAGCAAATGACTTACAGAACCATGAATTCAGTCTGGAGGAAATTACGGCCTGATGGCATTGCTGGCACAGTTTTTGACATTTAGAATTTTTTTTTAATCTATGATATTGAGTTTCTAACCTTGGACTTAGAAGTTACCAATGAACATGTGGAAATCCATAAAAATAAGCTCAATAAGAAAGAAATGCAGTAATTTCAGAACAGTAACAATAAGTCTTACAAAATAAATGTCTTCAGATGAAGGAAGAAAAGATCATTCTAGTTCTTCTATACACAAAACTTTTGTAAAGGGCACAAGATGCAGAGTTTTCACATAATGATATCAATCTCATAAAACAGTAGCAGCCTTTAAGCCCATTTTAAAATGCAAACAACAGCAGCACAAAAATATTTGAAAACATAGGCAACAAAAAATCACTTAAACAAATTTTTAGAGAAATGGAGATAAAGCAAGTCCCAGGCAAAGTCTAATGATGTTTAAGAGGAAAGGGGAAAAAAAACAGGAAGATTGTTACCTGGTGTTTTTATGGGAAGTGTATTATTGTGCAAACAACATATCTTTCCTTCTTCTTCCTTACCACATTCCACTTCTCTTTGTACAGGCATAGTAAAATTAAATCAAGTTTTTGTCTACTTTTTCTATTTAATATTGTGCACATCCCTTCTATCAGACTTTACCATTTCTCTTGGTTTTGTATTATAAACCTGTACACAAAGTACTGTTGTAAAGTTTGAATAAGTAATTATCTTCAATCCAAGAATGAAATAAACCATTTTACATTTATTTGTATGGAAAAAATAGTTTCAATTTATGAGCCTTTTTCATGATGAATGGCCTTCAGGAATGAATTAAATTTGCAAACCGAGGTTTTACTGTACTTGTTTTCCCAACAATATTAAATAGATATTTCAAGTTAAAACACTAGCTTAGTACTTTTATTCTAAAATATAAAAATGAAGATCTAAATAAAATAGTTACTAACATTCACAGTTGCTACTGAGTCAAGAAAATTAGCAGTAGTGATCAATTTTTAACAATGAATTTTTACACATTTTTTAACAATGAATAAAAGTCTTATGACAGCTTTATAATCAGCTATGATCTATTTACAACTTGTAGCTTTAAGATCTTATTAACTTTCATCCAAATTTGAAAACTGCATCAGCTTCTCTAATTAAGCATGGTCAATACTGGGAAATTTAAATCAATTCAGAAAAATGTACTACCTTATTGCTTGATTCAGTTCATCGATTTTCTTCTTCAGCATTTCGACTTCCTCTAACTGTTGCTGCCTTTCAGTTTTCAAAGTGCGAATATAGTCAGCTCCTTTAAAATAAAGAAAGTTTATATCAGAGAAAAAAGGTGAAGTATTTAAAAAAAGATGGGGAGAGAAGAAAGTAATTATTAATTTATGAATTTTCCCTTTTGTTTCCTTGAAAATTACTTACTTCAGAATTTTGAAAGAAGACAAATTTGCCATTTATAACTTAATATACAAACTCTGTGTTTGCACAAATAGTTTATTCTCCAAAAAAGAAACCACCCAATATAAAAATTAGATATATATTTTATATTACAGAAAATGTCTCTAATATAAAAATTAGAGACATTTTCTGTAATATAAAATCATAGAATATATTACCCATATTTTCTATTTTAGAAACTTAAAAAGCTATACCAGCATATCATTTTTTAAGTTTCATTATCAGTCATAAAAATAATGTATTACTAATTCAAAGGCATAAATGTAAAAATATTATTTACGTATTTAATTAATGGTTACATTTTATTCATAGCCACTTGTTAAACAAATTCTGGCATTTCATAAGGATTTCTGACCGAATTCTGGTATTTCATTAACAGTCAATTTATTTATACTGACAATTTTCCCATAAAAATTTTTTTTGTTGATATATTTGTATTTACGTTTTGTAAATAATTTTTTTACCAGATTTCTTTCATCCTCAATTTCATCTTCTATATACATTTAATCTAACAGATTTTGGTAAGGTTTTGATAAATAAAAGAAAGATGTTTTATTAATTATATGGAATAAAACAGAGATTTATTTTTGAAATACGAACTGTGAGAATTTTGTCTTGCACAAGCAACTTTTTAAAAATTAAATTTAAATTAAATTTTTAAGAATTAAAACAGAATTAAATTTTTAAGAATTTAAAAGAATTAAAAAGAGCAAGATTTTATTAAAAAGCTTTATTTTAGGATCAAAATAAGATGTATAAAAATGATCTCGAATTCTTTTGTAGACAGATGTAAATCATATCTGCACGAGGGAAAAAACTACACAAATACAAAACTGGTTGTGCTTCCCATTTACAATTTTCTATTTAAAAAGACATTTTTAAAACTCTATCGAGTTTTCTGAAAAAGTGATTACAAATCTTAATCACTCAAATGGCTTGATTTGTTTGATTACAGTAAAAAATTCAAGAGCTATCTGCCTAAAGGGTTCGTGGAGGGAAACTGGTTTGTATACTTGTTAAACAAGGGGAAAACCATGAAATGGCCATGTAGCGAGCCCATTTATTGAGATTCAAACCCTGAAATACCAGCATTCAGCAATTTTACAGCTCAGCAGCTGGTGGGCCTAATGACTCAAATGAGCTTAGTTTATCATTAAAACATATACTATTAACACAAATTTTATCAGACAAAATAATAACAAGAATTCTAAATGATGATTATTCTGTTATTTCAGGTAATCAATATTTCAAACAATGAAGCACTTAGGAGACCATATAAATTATTATAGTGAAAAAAAAATGCTTTTTCTAAAATATGGAAATTGCCACTGGCTTATTTTTATAATTACCTCTTTGTAGCATAGCTGCTTTGCTAACTTTTGAATTTGGTGTCTGTCCCATTGGTGGCAGAAGATTGTGTAAGGACTCGAAGCCAATCTGCAGAGAAATGGATGTCTAATTTATATATAATAACTATAAGCATCATATATAGCTTATTATTATAAGCATAATATATAACTAGGGAGGATATAGCTTATTATTATAAACATAATATAGAACTAGGGAGGAAAGTGAAAGTAATTAAACATCTTTGCTTTTACATGAAATGTGATGATGTAAACAGAATTAAACCTTCAAAACAAGTAAATTATGCAGCACTAATATAGATAACATTAAAGATATACCCACCTTCCCCCAAAATTATAAATTATACTAATAACATAGGTGTCAGTAAAATGTACAATTAAGAAGTATGTACAGTAAAATACCAAGATCAGGTGGAAACAAAGAGATGCCCTATAAAACTAGCTCATCAAAAAGTAATTCTTTTGGCTTTCCTTTTTTTTTTTTTTTTTTTTTTTTTTTTTTTTTTTTTTTTTTTTTTTTTTTTTTTTTTTTTAAATCTTGAATACAAACTTTGAGAAGGTTTTAATTCTTCAGAATGGTTTGAAGAATGGATTAAGGTAAATCCAAACTTTTCTGCAAGTTTAGTTCCTTTAAAGTAGTGATGACTAAATGACAGCCTGTCAGGCCATACAGACACTGCCAATCAGTTTTTTATGAATTGTATAATACAAATCATGTGTGTCAATTTATTAAGTATTTCATGTTTGTAGTACCTGTATCTACTAGTTATGGACAGCATAAACCTTTATTTAATTGGTTTTATATATAAAATAAATGGAGTAACAACTTCTATCCATGAATGTGTCTGCAAAATTCCTATTACAGCTGCCCATAAGCTTCAAGTACGGGAATTTCAAGACAAACAAATGATTGAAATTCAGAACTAGCAGCAAATATTAACAAGTCTTCTTATGAGATAATACACATTGCATACTTAATTTTGAAAAACTCAAAGGTAATAATTTTATTCAGGACTTTGCATTTCTTACAGACATCATTCAATATTTAATTGGTCGGAATTAACAGCTATGAAGAATAAGATAATGATTTTTCAAAGGATGAGACATACTGATTATTTCAGAAAGAAACTATTTACCTAAATTAACATTAAACAAAAATATTTTGATCCCTTTCTGCTGATTGTTCAGTTTTTAGAAAAAGAATATAAATTTCATAAAATATGCAAATTGCATTTGAAGTTAAAATCTAGTTTAAAAGATTTTGATATATTTCTTATAATAATCCATTCAACAGAATTCAATCAGAACCTGAAATTAGACTAACAATCATGACTACAATTAGAATTGTACACTCAAATTGCAAAACATTAACATGATTTGTGGAAATTATTATGAGAGCAAAAGCTCACCTATGATAGTTCCACTTATAAGACACTAAGCTCTTGAAGAGTGATTTATGCTTGATGATACTTAAGTTTGTGACAAACTTTTTCTATCTCATGAAGATTAACAAATTGAACTCAGAACAATTGTCAAATATTCTCAATAATTCCAGATCAGAAATGAACACCAGATCCTTCCTAAAACGCTTTAACAAATCCTGTTGTTTTTGATATATGTTATAGTTACAAATAAAGATGTAATCATTAACATCTGAATAACATTATTGGTAACAATTATATTTTAACAATAAACATTCTGATAATAACGATCACGATTTTGTGACCACCATACAATTTTAAAGAATTAATCTTCTTTAATAATTTTTGTTTTATTTTCAAACACCCCTCCTTTAATACTCATTATTGTCAATATTTCTCCCTCCCTTAGTAGCCATTCGTAATTTCATGAATAAAACTGAAACCTTAAGACCAGTAATGCGGCATTTTAGATCTGACAGAAAAACAATAATGCCCCACAACCACTTAGCCAGCAGGTGTTTGAAAGTAACATGTCAGTCCCAAAAAAAAAAAAAAAACCCTTTAATAGAAACAAACAAACAAAAAAAAAAAAAAAAAAGGCTAAAAGCCTTCAGATTTTACATTATGCCCAAAGGAACCTTTTTTTTTTAACATTTTGAGTGTTACCTTTATTTATTAAATATCACGTTCTTTGCACTTAAACCATAAAATTCAATTCAGCAGCAATATCGCAAAATAATTTCAATATGAGCGTACCTTTAGAGTTTTCGATATGCAGTCTCCCACGTTGGAGATAAAATTCTTTTTCCCCGTATATTGTTGCCATTACTCGCTTTGAAATCGTTGAGTTTGTTAAACAAAAATTTCTTAAAGTGTTACAAAATATGAAATACATAATAAAGCAAATTCTAAAGTAGGGCTTCAAGATACCCATATTCGGTGGAGGATTACATTTTTCACAATTGGATGGTTCTTGTACCATTGTTTTATCACAATGCGAGATATACATACATTTATGCAGATTCTTCATTATTTAATTTCTTTAAATATAACACAGAGCAATAATTTTTGGTGGCAACAAATTGAAAAGTGAAACGGGTATTTAAAGTTTTCAATGCAAAATGCTAAAACAAAATTAACAGCCCTTCTGGGCTAATGACCTTTGGGCTAAAAAAAATCTCAAAAATATTCGCTGGCACTTGAAGTTTGGATGTTAGATCATTCTGGATCTGGACATCTACACCTTGTACTTTGTATTGTATCTGTAGATTAAATAATTTGTCTGCCATTTTTAAATTGCTCTAAACCTCCAAATTATTCCTCTCTCCAATCTCACAGTACATTCCTACAATTCACCTATATTTCTTTCATGTTAAATTGAATAAATAAATGTGTGCATCTTTTTAAGTGAAAAATTTAATGAAACTTACTACATTTCCCCACACTGGTGATCAGCAGACTGACTGCCAGCGACCAATAATCCACAAGTCACTTATGACAACAGACTTGATAGATACTGATGTCCTTCAACTTATTTTAATAATCTTTCTTAATTTTTCACACTGATCCATACTAATAACTATCAACCCACAGGTCATCAGTAACCAGTGCCCTTGAAGGTCATCGATGTCTCCTTTGGTTTAATTTTGACATTAGTAATGTCTTTAGTATGCAGGCATTCCAAAATTTATAGACTTCAGTAATTAATGGCTTTGCTGGTTACCTGTGGCATCTAGTTTAGTTTTATTTTAACAATTTAAATACATCATCCTAAAGTAGTCATAATCATCATTTAGGTAGTCATCATCATCATTTAGGTAGCCATATGATTAATGGAAATGACATTTCATATTGTCAAGTTCAGCTGATTATGTAAATTAAATAAATCAGCATTCAAAACTGAAAGAACATACTACAAAACACAATGCATAATGTTTTATTTATACTACTTTCTTATTTTAATAGGGGTTAAGAGGCAACAGAAAATTAATTGCTGTACTCTTTTATTTTCATTATGTACCAATTTATTTTTAACAGATAATTTATTAATATTTTTATATTCTAAATTATGTACAAAAACAATTTCTAAATACTGTGATGTTGTCTGGTACCAATGAAATTCTCCAACGCATCTTACACTTTTTCTTGTACTTCCTGTACAAATTTCCCATTTTTCTGATATTTGTGATATTTCTGCTATTCTGCAATAATCCCTTTTTCTTAACAGTCTAGTTAATTAGGAATTGACTATATATATACAGATATATACATTTTCTGGCACGATATATTATGTGCCTAACTTAGAACTCTTTTTGGTCTTTTTCACATTCTTAAAAATGTTTTTTATTATTGTAATTCAGATTTGATTTTAAGAAAGTTTCAATTCACAACTTAAAAATTTAACATTTACAACATCAAAAATCATTCTGCATAAAATATTTTTTCATGAACAAAAATTAAAAATATAGTTATATATGCATTTTGACTTAACCATTTACAGGGTTAAATTTTGTTTCCTATTTAATAATTTTAAATTATAACATCTTAAATTACAGTACCATACTAAGCATTATGTAATCTAAGATGCTTCAGATGCAGAAACATGTCTTATAAAATCATTACACCTCATTCAGATATATTCTTAATGCTACAGGTTGAAGGAAAAGAAAAAGGGAAAAACTTTTTCCAAATTTTAATTATTATTATTTTTTAAATCTTTGATCAACAAATAACTACAAAATGAATTTTAGAAACCTTTATATTGCATCTTCTTTTCTGCTCAGCATTAATATGGCAGACTCTACGGTGCTCTTTGTACTGGATTTTTTCTTCATCTGATTTCAATCTCACAGTCTTTGATGCAGACTAGAAAGGAAAAATATTATTTTTAAAAATTTTAAATTTAAAAAATAAGTTAAAAGTTTCATTTTTCTTCTAAAAAATATCAATTGTTACCTAAAACTTAATTAAAAAATAATTTCCATTTCAGAAGCTGTCACATTTGCTTCTGCCTTTCTTTTTTCAGTGTTAAATGTTATAAACAGAAAAATGTCTGAACATTAAAAAAAAAAAAAAAAAAAGTGTACTACCCTTTGAAAAAATCTGAAATGGGTATACACACAAATAGACACATGATCTATATGTAATTACAAAATTGTGTCTTTCATTCAGTTTTATTTCACTCAGTTCAGGTAACAAAGGAAGTTACTAAAAAAAAGTAATTTTATTTATAGCTCTTAATAACATTTTGAAGCAAATGCTGTTTTTATTTTAAATCTGATAAAATACATTTTGATATAGTGATTTCATAATTTCTGATTCTAGTTCTTTTATCTAGCTATAAATAAAATTACTTTTTTTAGTAACTTCCTTTGTTACTTATCTGTTAATGCACTTTGATGATATCAAAGATAACTTAAAATACCTTTCGGGGTTAATAATTTGGGAATTAAATCAACTATCAAATAAGTTTCATTACTGAATATGATAGAATAACAGAAAAATACACACCATTGATAAATTTTACATTCACAATTTCAATATTTGCATGCAACGTATAAAAAATAGAAATATCATACATTTCACAACTATTTAAAACGACTATGGATATATTTAAGTTTAGCTTTAGATTTTAACTAGTTTAATGTGACTTCTTTGCCCACATATTTGTACTCATTTTAGTTAAGTCTCATATTAATTTTCCATTGAGTGTTTGTAAAAATATCAATTTTTTCTCATTTTTTCTGAAATAATTCAAATTTTTGACAAAACCTCAACTCTTTGGAGTAACAAATTAATTTTTATCCAGTTATAAATATTATCTGTCTTTACATATTTATATTAATGATAGCAATTTAAAGTCTGAAGTCTTTAAATTGATGATATTTTATATCTGAACCTACTTATACTTATATAAGAAAATTTTAAAACATTAATTATATCTGAACCTTCCTGTTTATTTTATTTACTTTTGAATGCAATTTATGCACTATTTAAATTTAATGAAACAAAAACATTGAAAAATTTCCCCAAGATGCTTATGATAAATGAATGATATAAGATTCAAATATGATATATAAGATTCAAAATACCTAACACAATTACTGCAAGCATACTAGATTCTTACATACAAGGAAATACCCAAGATTTTATAACATTATAATGGAAAAAAAAAAAAAAAAAAAACATTCAAACTAGTAACAAAGGGAAAAATAATAATAATAAAAAGTTATCTTACATTTGGGTCAAAGGAAATATTAGACATTCCTGGAGAAGGACTGCAAGAAGAACCTAAATAAATCACACATAAAATGAGTATAGTGCAACACAGTACAGTTACATATAAAATCAGTGTAACAGGCACATATGCAGTGGCACCTCGATATATGACATATATTTGTTCTAGATACTTGGACTTCTACCAAACTGGAAGTAAATCAAATTTCCAATAAAAAATTAAAGAAAAAATAATTAATCTGTTCTTATAAAAAAATCCTATTGTTATATGTAGTGGGTGAAACATATACTCTGTATACATGAATATTTTCCTAATTTATTTACCTTTTTACTGTCTCTTTTCTTTCCTTAGGTTTCTACTTGAACCAGGTTGAGAATCAATAGGCCTTACGTTAGCAGGTTTAATAGTATCCTTGTTTTTCACAATCATAGATACCGTTATTCTCATCATACGGTATGAAATAGTTAAGTTTTGGTAAGCATGCCATCTTCCATACTTTTAAACTGTCTCTTTGTTCACTTACATGGTGACTCTAATCATTTTCTTTGTTGCTTTATGCTTCTCATTAACTTTCTTAAAACTCGACGTTAAAGAATTTAAAAAAGTGTATGCGAAAAAACACAAAATCACATGAAAATTCAGAGCACCGGTTGTTAACTGAATAAAAGCAACAGACTTGCTGATGCTCAAGGCAGCTATAACACTGCCTCGAAAGAATAAACGTTGATTGCATTTGAGTTGTATTCCAAACAAACACTTTCGTATCTAAACAGGATGCATATTGAGTTGGATTCATTTTAAAATGGACGTATACCAAAGTGTCACTGCATAAATAAACAGAAGAAATACATATATATATACACTGCCCTCCAAAAATTAAGGAACAGCATGTTTTTTGTGTCTAATTTGAGAATGAAGCAACATAGAAACAAAAAATTTACAGGACATGTACACTAAACAGATCTTTTTAATGAATGTAACATAGAATGTTTTTAAAGTTCAACGCAAACATGAATTACAACAAAAAATTGCACTTCTGGCAAAGAAATCCAATTAGGAAAAATAGGGTGGCAACATTACAAAAATGGGTTCTAATAAGGAATGTGTCCACCCCTAGCTGCAATACACAGGTGGCAGTGACATTCCATGCTGTCAATTAAGTTGTTAGCCAATGAAATCGGAAGCAACAACCAGACAAGGAGTAATCCTTGTTCAAGCTCATCTAATGACCTTGTAGGAAGACTTAAAGCAGCAACCTATCTCCCAAGGTAGTCCCAAAGGTGCTCTATCGGATTCAGGTCTGGGGATTGAGCTGACCTTTCCATCCTCTCCATACCTTGACCCTCAAGGTATTCTTCAGCAACTAGAGCTTGGTGCAGTTGCACACTGTCATCTATCAGAAGAAATCTAGGACCAATAGCAGCATACATATACATTTTCCTGTGCCCGATGATTCCGGATTATGCCCAAGTCCATTATTGCCGTTCCAAGATCAAGCCTTAATAGAAAATGATCCTGGATAACCTGGTTTCGAGTTTGAGTTTCCCAAAATACGAAAATGGGCGTAAATTTTTTCAGATGATTTTTATCAAATCTTGCCACACAACGAAAAAGTTAAAAGATTGCTGAATTGTGCTGAAAAAAATTCTGTTTATTGTTTTTTGTTGCAAACAACAATGCAGTTCAGCAACGCAAAACTGAGTAGTTCTGAATTTAATGAATGGAATCACTTAAATTAGCACTTAAAACTTCATGAAAAAAGTAAAATGCATTTCCAGAATCTACATCTTTGGTCCGCTTTCTTAGAAATGTTAAGAAAGAATAAACCTGCTGATTCGGAATTTCAAAATTTATTAAAAAAAAAAAAAAAGAGAGACTAACATTGGTGCGATGTTATTGAAAGAATTATCTATGCCATTCAGTTTTTAGCCAAACAAAACTTAGCCTTCTGTGGTTCCAGTAACAAGTTATTCAAAAGAAATAATGATCTTTTAAAGTGTATAGAAATTATCACAAAATATGACCCTATCCTCTCTGTATATATTAATAAAATTCAAACTAAAAAAAATATGCTTCATTACCTTGAAGACAAAATTCAAAATGAAATAATTAGCTTCTTAGGGGGTAATATAAAGCAAATTATTTTTTAAGTAAGGTCAAACAGACAAAGTATTTTTCTATTTTACTTGATTGCACCCCTAATACCAGCCATCAAGAGCAGATATTAGTTTGTATGAGGTATCTTAATTTAGAAAATACAGACATGAGTATTGAAGAAAGGTTTTAGTATATTGGTATTACAACTGATACGACCGGTGAAGGAAGAACAACATTCTTATTAAAGAATTTAGTGGAAAATGGTTTAGATACTAGTAATTTAAGCAGCCAAAATTACGACAATGGTTCAAACAGGAGAGGTAAACAGTTTTCGAGTAATTATGCTCAAATTGTTGCTTTCTGAATTAAAAAGCTAACCTAAGTTTAACATAATGTTGCGTGCGTACGGGTTCGTTATGAAATGAATGCACAAGTCCGATGAAAAATGAACAAAAATTTATTATTATCACAACAAAAATGCTTAAATTTTCTCAAATTATCATGCAGTATTACAATATCTCACAGTAGTTTTCTTTTTAATTACTCAAATGTCCAATAGAACGTAATTCAAAACAGCTAAAGAACGCTAATCCGCGAATTCGCTACAATCAACAACAGTAGTTTTCTAAACAACAACAAACTAAGCAGCAACTACGAAATGAGATGTTTTCCTCCTTTTACTTAATGCCATCATGCTCCGCACGACCTTGCACCTATTCTCGTGCAGGCCTGTGTCTAGCCTTCGTGTCAGATAGCTTGGATTTACATGGATATTCAGCAAAGATTAGGGTTAAGGAAGAGAAGGTGCAGGGTTGGAAGATGTAGACAATTTTGTTCCTATTGCACTCTCTCAAGATGATGACAAACTAACCTGGCACGTACTACTAAGAATGGCAAGAATGAAGATGAAGACAACATCCAGAGCAAGAAAATTACGTGGAAGGAAGCTCATAAACAATTATAGAAATTCATAAGATTTTTCAAGAAACATTCATCTATGTTAGTACAGGATATTAAGAAGCTTCATCAAATATGCAGCAAAATTTTAAACTACAATCATAATCTTGTAAGTAGGCAGAGATTCAAAGTTATACATCATCGTACTAAGAAATTTATCATTTTTCATGTGATAATAAATATGTTAATTCTAAATTTTGTTTAATTTTGTTTTTCTGAAATATAAAATCACATTATGTGTTTTAATTTTAAATAATTTGTGCAATTTTTGGTATTGTTTATTTAATTGTGGGTAATAGAACAAAAAATACTACCGAAAGACTTCTCATGCTGCAATTAATATAGACTGTATTATAAAATATAAGCAAGTGAGTTCTAGAAATATATATTGAATTATTCAAAAAATATATTATTTGGAATGAGCATGGTCCTACTGCTGCCAGTTAAAACAGATTCTACTGTATTTTATTAATATATAAGACGACTATATTTCTAATCAATTAAAACAGTTTCATTACATGGATATTTTGGTTAAGATTATTTAATTATTTGACATTTTGTTACCAAAAAAAAAATATTTATTTTGAAATGCTTTAAATTGTTATGAGTAAATTTACAACTTTCAGCAGTCCCAGAGCTGCATCAATTTTTCCAAAATTCAACATTCATTTTTTTAAGCCAGCCGTGCTTTTAAATAACATATATGTGGAATTGTACATTAGTGGATACCATCACCTTGCTTATGGATCTATGTACCAACCTAAACAACAATCCTACTAATCACAGTAGACTTAAAACACATTTTCTGAGACCAATGCCTATATTAGTTATATTAAAAAAACTTCTTTTAATGTAACTTTTAATTCTAGAAACAATTCAAAATCAAAGAGAACAAGGCCAATTGCAAAGCTGTCAGTTGTAATAATATACTTGGTAGTGGTATTTTTCAGCCAAAAAGTGTCACACAATGAGTGCAGTATGACTATGTGTGTGAGGCATAAACATTGCAAAAACCTTTTTCATGCCCCTTTCTACATGTGTTGGTCATCTAATCAAAATACCTTAAAACACAACTACCAAAAATAATAGTAAACAAGAAAATAGGCGTTCGTTAGAGAGAGAGCCCCAGACTGTTTGAGGAGACACTTGTCTCATTTAAAGATCATTAATTGGAAGAATAAGGCCAAAAGTAGCACAGGCTGAAATGATGAAATTCTAAAGAAGGCCAAGGCCCGCTGGCTATCAAGTCACTGAAAGGAAGAAATGAAGAGTTGAATCAACAACCTTCAAAGAATATCAATCTGAGAAATTCCAGACCATCCTTTTATACAAAAGGTCCTCTTCCTGAAGTTATAAGTTAAAAATTATGCAAAAAATCCAGAAACCTGAAGTTATAAGTTAAAAATCTCTAAATTATACACTTTACAGAGGGGAATATGCCTAATGGAGAGAAATATATGAGCAAATATGACGCATTCTTATCACGGTGACAAACAGTAAAACTTACCAGGACTGTCAGGAGCAGGAAGAACACAAGATGGAGGGGAATTTTGATTGCTGAAGACTTGGTTGGCAGTTCCCATTAAAAGACTACGTTGGAATTCATTTACTCCAGCAGCCTATAATGCATAGAAAAATATAATTATGTAATAACTGCTTCTAATATACATTTTTAATTATACATATGCACCAAATACAGAAGATGCTTACAATAATGCTTTGTAATGTGCTTGACCAATTGAATTTATATTATTATTGAAGTTACTCAGCATTTTTAGCTCAGAAGGGCTATTAATTTTGTTTTGGCATTTTGCATGGAATCATCATCACTTTTCAAATTAAGGCTACCAAATATTATTGCCTTGTATTATATTTAAAGGAATTAAATAGTGAAGAATTGGCATCAATGTATTTATGTTTCTCACACTGTGATAAAACCATAGTACGTAGAGCCATCAAACTTTGAATAACGTAACCCTCCACTGAATATGGGTATCTAAAAGGCCAAATTCGGAATTTGTTTTATTAACGATTTTATATTTTGTAACACTTTAATGAATTTCTAATTAACAAACTCAGCATTTTCAAAGTGAGCAATGGCAGTACTGTATGGAGGTTGGAAAAAAACATTTTTATCTCCATCATGCGAGACTGTGTACCGGAAATTCTAAAGATATGATCGTTTTAAAATTAAAATCAAATATGTTAAAAAAATTGACCCCTTTGGATGTAATGTAAAATCTGAAAGCTTTCAGATTTTTTCTTTTTTTAATTTTCTTTTCTGTGCATATATTAGTGCTTTCTTTTCATAGTAAACATGTAGATCCCTGCTTTCATTTTAAATAAACCATCATTTATACATGCACACTCCATTGTCTTTAAAATTAATTTTGAATTAACATGGCTAACATGTATAAATAATTTCTTTATTAACAACTCTTCAGATACTGGCTGAGTTCAACCTGGTATCTGGTTTATTGACATTGTGCACAATGAACAAGCTTGTTTACCCTGGCAGGAGCCAGAGATGAATTCTTAAAAATAACACTCATAGAGATTATTTTGGAATTAAAAATAGAAAATATGGTAACAAATAGATAAGAAAATGAGGAAATTTTCTTTCTAATAAATCCAAAACTTCAATTTTGGCTCTTTTTGTATACTTCTAGTAGAATTATTAATTGATGCAGAATCTATGAGGTCCCCCAACTTCTATACCAGCATCATCATCATATGATCTCATCTCAAGACGAGTAAAGTAGACGATCAGCTAATAAGAGGCAACATTCGATACAAGGGAATTTGGCCAATGTAGAACAAGGCTGAAATAAAGAAAAATTGATTCTCCTTCTCCTCCTGGAAGAGGAAAGTAATGATCTTCCCAAAAGAAGCAGTACATGGAGTTAATAAATGTGCAGGAACCATGCCAAGGAGGACAGGAAAAGATGAACAATGTCAAGCAGCAGGATCAAAAGGAAACCCCTTACCAACACTGTGAGAGTTTAGCAGTTTTGTGCAATTGGTACAAACTCTGTAAATTCAAAAATTCATACCAGGTGAGCAAACTTTTAGGAGATCTCATAATCCCTATATGACATGATCATATTAGGATTTATCTCCGGTTATGTCAAGGACCACCACCCCTTTTTTATGCGTAAATTTGTCCTATTTCACCTTGTTAAGCTCCTATTTGACTTAGCTATTTCATAAGATTCTGTATCCATTGTTAGTATTAATGCATTTGTTCGGGCTGACAATTTCCCTAAAAAATAAACTCAATTGATGGACCAATAGTTGAACTGTAACATTCGTTTCTATCTGTACCTGCCATACGACACAATATTGCCGCACGTACCAATCTAAGAAACGATGATGAGAATGAATGGAAAATTAGTTCTAGCCATGAGACGGAAACATGATGCTATTACTTTATACTATTTAAAATTCTGCATAAATATGCATTAGAATTGAGCCACTATCTTGAGGATAAACTTTTAAAATCTAACAACTCTTGGCAACACGAGTCAGTTTTTTATTTGAAGACACCTTAAAAGTCTTCTACAAAACATACTTTTTGCAGCCCAGGATTAATTTTTCCAAAATGATCTGGTTGTCCCCTCCCTTTTTCCAGCCCTCAATGGAAATAAAAGAGGAGGCTGCAAGAAGCTGTCAGACAATACAAGTTATTCTGTAGAATGAACTGCTGTTGAGTTTAAAGCATTCAGTGCTGCCTGTACTCAGTCAATAATTTTATAATTCACAATAATTACTTTGTGTTAAGCATAGAGGGAAAAAAATCTGTATATCATTGTTTTATATGAAATATATTTCTGTGTATTTTTTCTCAGTAAAAAGTATCATTTGAAGCTGCACTGAAAGTTCTCTGGCCTGCATTTGAAAGATGTTTATCAACTACAAAGATGCAACAGTACAGCGTGTTTCAAAAAGAATATATGTATTTCGAATGCATATATTTCTTAAACTGCATGATATATGAATATGAAACTTTACACATATAAGTACGAACCCTCTCAAGTTCAGATTACAGATGTTACAGATGTTCAATAAGTCCTCCATCAGCAACACGAACAATATCACATCGATACTCAAATTCCTCCCATACTCGGGCAAGCATGTCCATTATCACTGATGTTATGACAGTACGCATCCGGTTCTTTACCTCTTCCAGGTTCTGTGGGAGTGGTGGCACATAAACGTTGTCTTTAATCAAACCCCCCAGGGTGTCAAACTCGAGAACACAAAATAATTTCTGCTTCAGAGTAGCCATTTTAAATATGTGACAGTTACCACGCAAAACAGAAGACAACTGACATCTAGCAGCTATTAATATAAACTAGACTATGTATTCATTTCACCAATAGCTGAGCCAAGGCACAGTGACTGATAGTTTGGACAAAATGGCAATTTGTAATACGTATATTACTTTTTGAATCTTGGTGTATAATAATATACAAAGAAAATTTAATAAGCTACAAAAGATTGGATTTTTTTTTTAATCAGAAAGCTAGAGGACACACATTTGTAACCAATATATCATAAAACTCGAAATCTGCTACACTGGACATTATTAATAGACTTTCCACTTAACTAGCCAGTCAGGCATTAATATCCATTTAAGAAACTTATGTCAATAGCAAGTCACATGTTATAATCACTTTAAATTCTGCTGTAGTTTAAAGCCATTTCTAAGTTATTAATTACAACAACTATCAATTTCTTCCCAAATTTTAGATAGAAGTTGTTACAAAACAATGACAATATTTTTTCCTGAAAAGGATCAAACACTTTTTCAACATATTTCTTATGGAAATTAATAATATATGAAACAAAATACATGTAGTAATCAATCTGTGTGCCTAGGATATTCATATGAATTATTCTAGTGGAAATATTCGGTGATTAAATGGAAGTAAGGAAGAAAATAAGTTTCACCTAAAATTTTTAAGTAAGTCTAAAATTTACTCTAAAAATGTCAAAAACCTAGACAAAACGGAAGAAAATATCAATAATCATGCACAGACAACTTAACAAACTTATCAGTGAGAGATATTAAAAGTTACAATTCGTTTAAATGATGAGTGAGGATAAATTGCATTTTGTACAACATAGAAATATGCGTGAGTTATACAGTTTTCCTATGTATCAGATAGTGGCAACGAAGATGCAATTAATGTCCAATCTTGGTATTTTGCTGATTTTGCCAATTGATGCTGTATTAAAAGCAAAACTCTTAAGCAGCAGTTGCCAACCAGTGGTTCATGAAAACATTTTGATGGTCTGCAGAAAAATTGGGGCATTATTTAATATTTTTATGAAGATTCAGTATAAAAAAAATGATGAGTAACAAAACCTATTATGGAATATGGATTATACTTTAAAAAAAAATTAGCTACTACTTTTAGCAAAATTCCTTCTGAATTTAGTGACTTTTTAGCTATTTTTGCAGGTGTATCTAGAAAGTGAGAGTTGGCATCCATGGATATGCTGCTGCTATCAATAACAGCGTGAATTGGAATTCTCTTTCCTTTTGAATTACAAACATATGCTATTTTAGTTGTTAATAACAGAGTTTTTCTCGATGTCAATAGGCAATTTGATGGATTTTTACGAGACCCATCTGCACTCTTATTTATAATTGCATCACTGGAAGTTTCCGTTTTTGTTTTGTCTAACTGTTGATCAATGGCACTATTGCAGAATAAGCGATGATTATTAAATTATCAATAGTTAAAAACTGATGGCATAACACTTTCAGTTTATTGATATTGCTTTTGCCAGTTTGTTCTTGTTTGCCAGTTTGTTCTTGCTTTTCGTGAAGTTCCTTTTCAGTGATGTGGAAATGTGAAGCTTTCTGTACAAAAAGGTAAGATTTTGTACTTTCCATATAATTTTTCAATGTGAACGAAATATGTGTATCAGCGAGATGTTAATCCGTGTTTTGATTGTTACTCATAATCAGGAATGTGGCCTGAATTTCCATAAAGGCATGCTGCTGAACACCAATTGTTTCAAAAATTGTATTAAGAAATGAAAATTAGAATTACATGTATTGGAAAGTTGAATATTGTTTTTTGCATATCAATATGTTGTTTTTAAGGTCTGATTTAAGGGATTTTTTTTAATAATTCATATTGGTGGTCTACCAAATATAAAATTATAAATGTAGTGGTCCGTGAAGTTCTATTGGTTGACAACCACTGCTCTTAAGTACTTAAACCAAATTCATCTGATAATATTATTGATGTTGTTTACTTATTTATAACAGGGTTGCCACACAAACAGAAGAATGAAACTTCCCAACTTTTCTAATTGTGTTTTAAGAAAACTACAGTGTAGCCCTGTAGTTGTTGGCTGCGCTGAATGTAAATTAATTACATTACTACTTGAAACCACAAAAGTTTGTCCATTACATATCACTTTGAAAGGGGAAAACTACTTTTGAATCCCTAAAGTATTATTATTAAAACTATACTAACAGTTGCTCTTTTCAATAACTTTCGAACTAAGTTTTTGCCACACTAAGAAAACTTGCTTTACTGCCAGAATGATGCTTATGCAACACATAATTCACCAAGAAAGTGATGTGCTTCACAATGTTGGAATAAAAATACTTTTTTTTTTTTAATCACCATACGAAATTTCCTGACTTTTCGGTCTTTTTTTTTCGATCAACTTTCAGATACTCTGTTTTTTCCTGGTAGCGTGGCAACTCTGTTATATGTAATGATTTGTTTCCTACAGTATAAGTAAAAAAATCATTACTGCTAAACTAGTCTGAAAATGAAATGGAATCATCCTTACAAAATGGTGGAAGAAGCACTTGTGCTATTTGCTGAATGAATCAAACTGTTATTAAGAACAAAATCATGAAGATATAAAACAATTAGGAAACCATAACTGTAAATATAATACAGTGCTGGAAATACAGTTTTGAGATCTCATAAATCCAATGGGCCAAGCGTGAAAATATATTATTTATAATTACTGGTTGACCAAACTATGTCTCAAAACTCCTTCTTGCCCCTCCCTCCCAAAGTGATCAGCATCATTTTAAGCAAATCTAGCAAGCATGATACTTTTGCAAGTCGTCAATGAAAATTCTCTCACTTAAGTATCAGTCAATTAATTGTTAAACATCCAAAAATATATGTGAAAAACTTACTGTAGCAACAGGAAGAGGTGAAAATACAAAGGTATGAGAACTGGTGCTGAGAATGGGTCGAATAATGGTGACTGGCGAGGTTACACTTGCTGTAGCAGCGTTTGTAGCTTTGATGACTGTTTGGCTAATATCCTGTTGCACACATGTTGAAGTTGCTGAAGTAAATGAATAACAATTATACATTTTAAATAAATAAAAAAGACATTTTTCACATTTTTAATAAATTCACGTATTTTTTATTAAATTCCACTCTTTTTTTCTCCTACATATACAACAACAGAATACAGACATGACAGTATATAAATCTTGACTATTCTATCAAAAAACCTACTCAAAAGAATATCAATTTCAATTCTACAGTATTGTAATAATATAAGATACAGCAGCATTAATAGCACTGTTAATAAAATCATACCACAACCAAGCAACTGTTTTTTTATTTATTATAGTGCATATCAAATAGTAGTCATAATAATGCCATTTATCAGTGAATATCTGAAATTGACCCTTGTCAAATGATGGGCCCACTGTACTACATTATTTTGATATATTAGAAGCTGTCTATAATTCTTTGTAACATATTGTTAAGTTTACTGCCAACATCAACTCTGATATGGTATTTTAACGTGATGATAATATGACATGTATGGAAAATTTATTCCTAGAAATAACCCTACAAGAAAGAATAACATCATTATTCAAATTTTAGTTATGAAAGCAAGTCACATCACACTCGACAAAATATGCTACAAAGGCTGCCACACCGTAAAAATCTACAGAAAAATTTTGTCCCTTTGGGAAGTGAAAGAAAATAATACATTTTTCTTATCTTTTGTAACATTTATTGTACAATATAATTTCTTTCATTACTTATGACCTCTTGCCAGCATGATGGTAATTTGCAAATACCATTTTTGAAAAATGTCTTGTCCCTAACGGCGAAGAACTTGAGTAGTGTCTGGCTGACAACTGCTTTAGTTTTGAATTTTCTCCCTTCCAAAAATTTTAAAAGGAGACAAACAAGTGATAACTGGAGGTTTCCAGGTCTGGTAGACATAGCAGAATTTCTCAGCCTAGCTGTATGATTTGCTGATGAGTCACCAAAGCAGTATGTGGTCTGGTTTCTTCATGATGTAATATGATGTGCTTTCAATTGAACATCACCAGCATCTTTTCTTTGATTGCTTTGTTTGAATCATCTATTTGCTCACAGTATCTTCCCAAATTGAGCTTTTCATTAGGTTTTGAAAGTTCATAATGTACCTTTGGATGCCCTACCATATACATAGGATTCTCTTATTCAGGCTCAAGCTCGGTTTAGAGGTGGTGGCAGCATGGTTGTCTGGGCTTACAGTATGCTCTTTTCTTAATGGTATTCTCAAAGGTAATCTACTTTTCATCAAAAATTATCATCGGGTCCAACAAGGGTTCATTTTTAGTCTGAGCAAGCAGAAATGTGCATATGATGACTTGATCATGCAAATTTTTCTCACATAAATTATGAGGCACCCATTTGGAATATTTAGATACCAATCCTAGTTTTCAAATACGGCCCAAAATGGTTGAGCTGAGTTAAGCATTTTTGCAATCTTCAATGTTCTCAAAAAAAAAGGCTCTCGCTCTATCACGGTCTTGATAATATCATCATCGATTAAAGATGGCTGTCTAGAGCTTAGCTTGTAATTAAGATCGAAATCTTGAAGTTTTTCCAAACACCTTCTCAAAATTTTATCAAAAACTGTATTTCCACCAAAAACTTCACTAGATTTCTACATGCTTTTATAGGATTTCTTCCTTGTGAGAATTCATACAAAATACAGTATTGTAATAATATTCATACAATATTTATACAAAAATACAGTATTGTTATTGGTAGCCATGTTTACACGATCGTGTCTCAATAATGATATGAGACATTTTTGTTTCAGTCCATTTGGAAGAGTACATGGGCTTAAAGATGGATAGCCATATGTGTGCCATGTAACATGCGTGTTAAAATTTAAAATAGCATTATTGGACAGAACTTTCTGTTGGAAGTTATACTTCTTTCTTTATGTGTAGGAGAATATCTAAATTTACTAGCATATCACTAATATGACCATTTCTGAAGGTAAATAAAAACATTGTGATTTCAGGAACCAATGGCAGGTGAAACTTAAAAATGTAGTTTTTTTTTTCAATCGAAACATTAAATTTGAAAAATAATTCAAACTGGGAAAATTAACTGCTCAGATATTTGAATTATTAAAATATCTATGTAAGGTGTTGTTAAAAATGCTTAGTGTCACCTGATTGGAAAGTTCATCAAATTAAAAGAATTCACTGCCCTGATAAATAGCTGATGTATTAAAAAATCTATGTTACATGAGGTACTGCTATTTAGTTCACTCTAAATGTTTCAATAAGCATATGTGTCCTAAACAAGAATGTTTCAGTAATCTATTAGATACAGGAAACAACATCTTACTTTATTTTTTTTACAATCTTTAATAAACTAAAACGAACATTTGAAACATAGAAGATGATTCAAAAGTCTCACTTTTATATTTTATACAATATTGTAGGAATCAAACTAACAGATTATATATGTCAGATGAGCAGAAAGTGCTGTCTGCTGAGGGGGGGGGGTATGACCATCATGGCCACTATCCTGAATCCTGCTTGAAATTTTTGAACAAAATAGAAGGCATGTGATGAAAAATCCAAAAGTGCAATTAATTTTATTTTTCCGCTAGACAGAGAATTAAATGAACTATTTTTCCTTTGTTCCAGGTTAACAGACACGTTACTGGTGGTCCAAAAACAAATGGGAGGAAGAAGCTCTCATGTCATTAGAGAATGAGTTTAAAACCTTCACCCAAGCAAAAATATGACTTTCACAGTTACTGTAGTCACAATAGAAACTCAAGAAAATGGAATAAGATCACAATAAAATAGTAAAAGTCCAAAACAAGGCTCCAACCCTGAGTTGTGGTTACTTGCCATGAAATGTCCTCAATACAATATGTATTGCGAGATCAATATCAAATAAAAAAAAACTGTGGTAGAATTTATAAATGAATGATTATTTAGTGAAGATCGGAAAACTGCAGTTTGTAACATTGCTTGAACAGTAAAGCCATATGAATCCCATGTTCCCAGTGAAGTTTTTTTTTGACAATAAGACCTTTTTTTCACAAAAGATATGTAGCACCATAAGGTTTTTTTATGCTGTAGACGTGAAAAATGAGCAATGCCCTCATCAGGATTTGAACCTAGACCTCTCGAATATGCATCTAGTATGCTTCCAATTACATCACAAAAGCATGCTGAAAGAAGGAAGAAATTATTTTATAGATGAAATTAGCGAACAAAATCATAATTTACTGGTGTGATCTGAACCTATTAAGGACAGATCTCACCAAATCATTCATTAACATCTTCCATTCATATAACAAGAATCTAAACTCATTTTTAGGTATAACAACAATCTCAACTCATTGCCAGTGCTATGCTGGACTACCTGGAATGATGAAACAATAAGAAATTAACAGATCATTTATGTTAAATTCATTATGTTAATCTCTTGATCATTTATGTTAATCTCTTGAACAAAGATGTACAAAAAATTGTGTTTCTGAAAACACCAGCTTAAATTCATGTACCACAATTTCCCTTTTATGTTTAAAAACTTCGAGCATGAACCAAGATAGCTGTTTTTAATACAGCAACAATAATAGTCTTATCTCCAAAGAAGTAATACTTCCTACCATGAGGAGTAATAATTAAGGTGACTTTCATTCACAATCCGCACATCTGTGTTTTTCATATCCATGGGAAAAAAAATCAATATTCTATACAACATTTTAACCGAAGATGTTTGTTAGAAATATAAGTCTGAAATACATTTATTTGTAATGATATCAAATACTGCATTTTCAAATGAAACACTTTCTTAAATAACAAAAGGTAGAATTTTCATAAATTTTCCCTATAAAAATGCAAACGTACAACTGTATTTCCCTAGATATTTATTAACTTTTTAGTATTTTTTTTTTCTATTACTGATTTTAAAAAATACAAAATTTTATTAATGTCACTTGTCAGATATAACCACGTAGATATGACTGGTAACTGAAAACTCAGGTTGAAAAAGAAAATATGTATTTCTAAAATCAAGAGTTTTCTCACTACTGTCTAAACTAGCATTTTTCAAATAACTTTTAAAGAAAAGTAATATGGAAAAACAAAAAAATGGTTTTTTTAACCATTTTTACAACCTTTTATTTTCTATAATTTTGTTTCATTTATTTAAATATTAGCTCATTTGTACCAAAAAGACCTATCTTATACTTCAGATAAGTTACTTTGGATAACAGACAATTTTTTTCCTGGTTCAAAGGGAACATCTTAATAAAGCTTACATGCAGTTTCAAGAAGTAAAATTTTAGCTGTTTCCTACAGCTACCCAAGGGTGAACCTAAGAATGAGAATACTGAAAACTGTTTGTTTAAGGGTGATATTTTTCATGTAATTCCATTCTTTTCGCATTAGCAAACTTAATCAAAGGAGAGTGATATCATACAGATTAAGAAATGGGTCCCATTTTAATGTAAAATACAAAAATAATGATTACTGTACCTCAAAAGAGGGACCTGTAAGGAATTTTTTATCTGATATTTTCAATCAAAAATCATGCCTGCGATCCCATCTGACTGCAGGGATCATTTTTGTCTAATCAGACACGGTCATGCTCCATTTGTCTTTTCAGTGCAACTTAAAGTAAGCATAAATTGAAGTGGCATAAAGTCTCATATCTGTATATATATCATAAACATAATTATACTGTCAATTAAACATGCCTGAGGAAAGAAGTTGAGCAAGAACAGCATTCTGTGGCAATATGCTAGAGTTTGTACCACTGAGAGTTTGACCAGAAATCATCGCTCTTTTGTTTGCTGCATCAGGGGAAGTGACAACAGTGGGTAATGGAGCACTTATGTCAGTGAGTGATACAGCTTGCATAGGCTGCTGAACGAAAGATTTCGGACTACTCGACTGAGGTGTAGACACACTTCGAGATCGAGTTCTTTGTCTGGTCTGGAAGACATAAAAGAATGTTAAAATCTCAGTCATACTAAATTTAAAAGATATGGTAATTAAATTTTTGTTAAGAAAAACAACCATATGCATACATATTTAGGATATTAACTGGCATGTAAAATATTATAAAATAATTGAATAATAAAAATACATACTTAAAACTAGTTTGCCCCTTATATCACTAGAAGTTTGAATTCTGTTTCACATTTTATTTCCATCTTCTCATTTTTCTTTCTCATTTGCCCTTTACTCTATTTACCCAAAATTATAATATAACAATAATTAATACTTGTAGTTTCTGTTTCAGAATTGACTCTAAATAATATTATAATGATACATAAGAAGATCCACAATCAATAATGTTTAAATGTACTTTATAAATACTGAACAACTACATATTTAGTGGATAAACACTACTATATTTAAACATGATCTGGAATGTTGGACTTTTCAAGTAGTGATTCCAGTAGATTTTAATCTAGTGACATTACAAATATAGCGAGAGCTTACTCTTATCACTCACATACTACACATATGAGAACAGCATAGGACATGATTTTCTGTTTAGGCAATATAATGGATTATCACTAAGTTTATAATGGAGAAAATTATCTCAAATGCTCAAACTTTGACTAGGCCAGACTTTACATATAATATAGATTACAACAGATTTTGTATACAATATAGAGTTATGAAGAACTTCCAAGCATTCTTTCAAATAACTCAGCAGCCTTTCTTAAAATGCATTCAAATAATTCTATTATAGGTATATAATATATGAAATTAGAAACATCTTTTATTGATTATAATAATAACACTGCAAATATTTTAAATTAAGTGTACTTTAGTTTTTATCTACACAATATACTGTTAAAAATTAAACGAAGATTTAAAGTATTAAGAAATGCATTTATTGCTTTTACATCATCCAGTCTGTTATGCAATTCTATAGTGATTAAATTAAAATTATAAATTAAAGGTCTTATGCTTTGTTAAATAGCTGAACAAAGCAGGAGTAAACATACAGGACAGCAAGACTTTACTATTTGTGATAAAGGTATAAACCAATGACACTAGTGTAAAGGATGCAAATTGTGCAATATACAATTGTAGGGCAGTGATAAATGATTAGCACACAGGAACTGTATCATTTATAAAAAGAATCACATCCTACTACACCAGAAGCTAGCAGGCAAATACATAGGCATCATTAAGCATTTAGAGGACAGAGGAAGAAACACTTTGGTAATTTTTTAAAAATTCCACTGTCGAAAATTTTAACATCAGTAACTTCACTGCAAATGAAAACACACAGGCAAATATTATTGTACTGTAACAACTGGCTAACATAAAAAACAAACGGAGGAGAGCAAGAAGCACAGAAGAGAATAATAAAATACACCACCATTTAAATTCCAGCAGATGAAGCATGTAGACCACTTGCGAAAAGTTTAATAGAACTATATAAATTAGAGTTTTATAATTTAAAGTTTAAGAGCAGATAAATAACTTAAGAGTTTCATTTTTATTTCACAGTAAAGATTTAGTTAACTGGTAACAGAAAGATTTAGTTTTATCAACTGGAAACTTCAAAGGTTGAGACTGGCAAGTATTTAATGCATTTATTTTAAATATTATTTAAGTCAACATCCATTTAATGGTTAAATTATCTTACAGGCATTAAAACTGTAACTTGAAATATTCAGAATGCTTTTTGTTTGACTGGGAGAGATTTTAAACAGTGGTTGGTAGAATACTGAAGTACATATTTTCAATGAGTCAAATAACCAAGAAAAGACCTAAACCAAGCGAATTCTATATCACCAACCTGAAAATAGATAAATTGAAAACTAATTATAAGCACTAGATGCTATAAAACAACTTAGCAACCATGGATACCTAGTGTATAACATAAAACTAAATACCTTAAAAAAATATTATTGATTATGTATTTAACATCATGATTGGCAGACACAACTCAGTAATTAAACTTTAAAACATTAAACTGAAGTAACACATCATAAAAAATCAAACAAATGAACAGACACCATGAATGCTCTAAAAGAGAACTATCCACAGCTCTAGATGATTTAGTTCCTCTGTGAAGGTGGTCATCTTACAAACTTGATGCTTAATACTGGTATTTATCTTCTCAGAAATAAAGCTATCTTCTTCATGAACATTTATTTTTATAAAAGACCTAAATTAATAATTTTTTGGACCAACAAAAAATTCAAAGACCACCTTCATAAAGAAAGAGTGAAAATATAATTAAACATTTGTTTTATGCAATGACTACATAAAATATGGCTAGTTATAATATTGTTGCATGCATATGGGTTCGTAATAAATTGAATGCACAAGTCTGATGAAAAGTGAATAAAATTTATTCTTATCGCGACACATAAAACAAAATGCTGAAATTTCTTCAGACATATTTGTACAATATCACAATGGTTATATTTTAAACTACTAAAACATTTTACAGAATGCAATTCAAAACAGAAAAAGCTAATCTGATCTCACCATAATTTGCTACAGTAAACAACAACAGTTTTCTAAACAACTGAATTGAGATGTTTTCCTCCAGCTTTTTATAAGCTTCTTAAATGCAAAAGAACATTCTGTTATTTTTTTATTTTTCTGGACAGCAAGAGTTCAGTTAGGAGATATCTATTTATTAAAATGTTAAATGCGCATGCTCCTGTATTTTAATTTTTCCGGCATAGCTTTCTCTTCAAATAAGTCTCGTGCTGCATTGCACGGGAATATAAAACAATTTTAATTACAAATTCTACTGAAAATAGCTAAATAAACACAAAATCCATAACAATATAGCATATAAGACAACTCTGCAAGTAACTCTGACCATCCGATAACAGCTGTATGAAAGAAAAAGAAAATATGCTAATCTGATTAAACATGCTATCATATTTTAAGCCTTTCCCATCAGCTAGAACACAATGAGCTTTAACGTTCCACAGTGAGCCAGACAGATGCAGATGCAGTGATCAAATAGATATAGCGCTTGGAAGAACAATAGATGATCTTCATTTTTCTACTCAGTAGACTATGCACCCTCCCATTAATAAATTTCTCACTATCAATGTATCAATGCATGATTATCATGCATCATCTTCTACAAACTTTTAACAAACTCATCCTGTTTTTATTTTTAGAAGCTGAAATTACATTATTCATATCTGTGTTGTTTTTATTTATATGGTCTACGAATTCATCATGTTAATATTTCCTGCACAGTATTTTAGATTTTTAAGATATACTTGATAGTTTTGGTGGGGAAAGGGAGGAAAAAAAGAGACAGAAGGGGGGAAGCATGGGACTGTTTGAAAAATTTCCAGATAAATTAATGATAACTGCTCTTTTGCCTAAATGCTGTTTCAGTGCATAAAAAGTTAACAAGAATGCTTCACTTTAATAAAATGGAAAACCTAAACTTGATATTTCCTGAGACTGCAGGGACGAAGGCTCACTGTATTTTATCTTTGAGGATATACATAATTTTACAATCAAAAGTAGGACACTGATTTACATAAATTATATTCTATAATGGATTTTGGTAAAGCTAGGATTATCAATATGCCCACATATAATAACAGCTTTAAAATCAGATATCACCTCTCAGCCATATTAGAATAATGAGTTTTTTTTTTTTTTTAAATGTCCCATTGTCGCGTTTGTGTACTAATAACTCAGCTTCCACGAATGTCCTCTGGCAGAAGAGACAAAATGTAGTTAGTTGAACGGGTGACGCATCTAACAGAAGTCGCAACAATAGACCGTCACCGTATATATTAGAAAAATGATGTTTGAATAGATTGTAACTTATAAATATTATGTAAATACCTTTCACATGTTAATTAAAATTTCTTGAAAACATTTATAGTAGTGTTCCGCTGTGAATGGAATTTCGGCATAGACACAGATATCGAAAGGAAAACAAGGCAGTTCAAGGCAGCCCTTTAAAAGATAAGTAAATTTTCACTTATCTATTAAGTGATCTAAAAATTTTAAGAGTATAAAGTTGATAAAATTTTTAACACTCATTTTCTAGCTCACCTTTCTCAAAAAAGCAAACTGTACTGCAATAGGAACTGCAGAAATTAGAATCCCAGGGGCATCCCAAACAGTAGTGATACATCTTTCAGATTTTGGCTAATGAAGTGAACACGCATTCTGTGAAAGCTCTGTTTTATGAAACTTATGATTAAGTTACAGCATGAGAATCAATTTATTTAATCCCTTTGATTTTTAATTTGCATGAACTAATTAATTTCTAACATATTATTTAACTACTCCTTCCTTCTTCAGGAAGTAAACAATTTCATTATAGATATGTCTTGAAATATATATTTCAATCAGTTGGAACCAAAATAGCTAACTAATTCTGCAGGTGGATATATGGTCTACGAATTCATCATGTTAATATTTCCTGCACAGTATTTTAGATTTTTAAGATATACTTGATAGTTTTGGTGGGGAAAGGGAGGAAAAAAAGAGACAGAAGGGGGGAAGCATGGGACTGTTTGAAAAATTTCCAGATAAATTAATGATAACTGCTCTTTTGCCTAAATGCTGTTTCAGTGCATAAAAAGTTAACAAGAATGCTTCACTTTAATAAAATGGAAAAAGGTATTATTGTATGCTGCTAAAAAGGGATATTATTGTATGATGAAAACTAAATGGTCCTGAAATGCTGGAGTAAGAAGACTGTAAAATCTATCCTAATGGACATCTGTAATGCATTCAATGAATTTTATAATAGACTTCAAAGTGTGAGAGAAATGCCCTTACTAAGGCAGAATGGCAGACCCAGGGTATTCATGTAAAAGTTTACTGATACGAACAATGCGCATTTACTATTTGAGTGAATAATTCATTTCCTATTTGAGTGCATAACTGTTATTTATTGCATTACTGAATGTTACTTTATCTGTTCGTCATATTTTAATTGAGTGTCCATGTTTTAATAGTCTTCGCCAGAAATATTTTAATAGCTGTGACTTACCTCTCAACTGTTTAATCGGAAGAGAGGTCAATTGTAATTAATTTTATTATTTAAAAGAGACTGGCTTTTATTACCTAATGTAATTTGTTTTCAAGACTATGTCTTGAATTTTAATGTGTGCTTTTAACTTGTGTTTATATGACTTCATCCTCTGGATTTGGTACATTTATATACTTGTTTTTATTTATTGAATTTTAATGTCATCAATTGTAATCATCCCATCTTGTGTTTGGCGCGTTATAATCATCTCTGGTTTTTGCGCCATAATCACTCACTCACTCACTGAATGTTACTTATTGCATTTTATTTCCTTGAAGCCCTTTTTATAGTAAAAATATTTTAACGCTTTGGTAGTCATATCATATTGCACTCAAAATACATATTCTACTTTATTTAAATGAATTTGTGTGCTCAATTTGTCTGAATGGTTTTGCCTAAAAGGATATAGATAAATCCTATTTGTAAAATTTGTGAAGTAGATCTTTGTCCAGCAGAGACATCTGAGATAGTTATATCCACGGAAATATGTTTTTGAAGTAACATCTGAGAACTAAATATAAAAGCTAACTGAATTTACAGATGTGTAATTCTGTACAACTGATGTATACTGCATAATTCTGCTCTTATTTGGGTTCTCCTCATTATATTTTTGAATAGGTGGGAAAAAATGAAAGCTTAATAAACTTTTAAATAATGAAACAAATTCAGAAAAGGACAGAAATTTAGCGAATGATTATGAGTAAATCAAATTTTGAAATGATTGAAATGTTCATGTGTTCAGATGATAAAACCAGCACAGAAGGTAATTTCAGCAGCCATTTACAGTCTTACAAAACTATCGAATTCCTTCTGAATTGATTCAATTTTAAGGGCATCATTATAAGTACGAAAGGATAACTATTCTCTTAAGGGATGCAGCATGAAGTTCTTTCAAAAATTAAAACTTTTAATTTTCTGTAGCTTTGCAACAAAAAAAAAAAAAAAAAAAAGTGTACCACTTATAAAAATAACAGAAAATATGGAACACTTATAAAAATAACATAAAAGTTGAGAGAAAAATAGATGATATTTTGAGTTACTGCTGCAAAGGAATATTGGACATAACAGAACAGCAGTGACTGAATATTTTGATATTAAGCAAAAGATTAATTATTTTTATCATCATTTGCATTTAGTAGGACACCTAGTATCTTAAATTATTCACCATCTTTCTAAGTATTTAGTTTAGGTGTACTACAATCTTTCTTATAGTATTCAGCAAAATCTATTAGTTTTAGTTAATGATTTTAATTTCAAGTGTGTTGTTATTCAATGAATTTTTATGTACATTTTTAGATCACAAAATTTCCTTTTTTGTCTATTTTTTCAACGAAGCTGTCGAAATATGTCCACTGTAGAAATATTTAATGCAATTAGCAAACAGAAATTAAACACAACTAACTACTACTGAAATTTAAAAAAATAAATTTTAACCCTCTCAAAATGCAATGAGCTTTTACTTGTTATTAGCTTGATCCTGTTTGGAATAAACAGGGTCAGGAGTTTTGTAAATTTCGATTTATACATAACTGATATAATTAAAATACATAGCTACTTCTATAACAAATGATTTTAGCTTACTGGTACATCAGGCACAACAAAGTTTCCTGTTGTTGTTGCGGGAGCTATGGGTCTGCTTCTTCGAGAGCTCATGTAATCTCCCGAACTTTGTGGTATGGAATGCAATTGCTGCCCAGTTGTGTAAGAATGTCTTCTGAAAGCTGGTGAATCTGCATTTGTTACAACTGTTGTTGTAGGACTCACCATATTGGGCTCATATACATTTCCAGTTGCAGGAGTTATACTAGGTATTTGTGCAGGTACTTTAAAATTTCCCGATGTATTCGAAGACTGATTCATCTGACCTAAACTAACAGAGAAAAACAAAGGATGCTTTGAATTTTTGGCCTCATTTGCATTTGAACTAGGAATAACAGTGTTTACAAATTGTCCATGTGGTATAGACTGCAAAGGCACTTGGATCGCAGAAGGCCCTTGAGTTGGGTGCTGCGGTTGTTGCTGTGATAAATCTGCTTCATCAAAAGATTTTGACATAAATGTCGGCTGTTGAAAGTACTGCTCTGCACGCTCTCGCTTCATCCTTTGTGGACTAGCAGACACATGTATCGCAGAATTTAAGCTCTCTTGATTTTGTTGCAGACTTCTTACTTCATTCTGCAAGTTTCTCTGCAGTAGTGATTCAATAGTTGTGTTGTCTGAAGTCTGGTTTGGAACATTGCTGCACAAGAAAGGCTGTATGGAACTGGACTGAGCAGAGGATTGTTCACTGGACAATAAAGGCACATGTTCTGCCAACAGGGAAGTACCTGCTGGTGAGGAATTCATTGTTTCGATCATGGGTTTTCCAGAGAATGGGGAAGGGACTGCTAACGGGGCAAAACGTGACTGCTGCAGCTGAGATCTCGCAGCAGCAGATTTTCTGAAGTTGTTTCTTTTAACCGATGGAGCAGATGAAACTTGCACACCACTACTCTGAGTGTAAACACTTGCGGAAGTATTTCGCCCAAACAAGGACTTAGAACCATATAAATCCTAGAAAGTAAAAAAAATAAAAGATATAGAAATTACATAATCAAAACTATATCTAGTATGCAGTTTAAATTTAAAGTTATATATTTTTTTAAATACTTAAATCCAAGAGGGGGAAAATTAGGCACTCTTATACATTGTCTACTTACACACACATTTAAAAAAAGGGGGGGTCTTTTCACTTTTGACTTCATGATAGACACACATTACTATGTTTAATGAAAATGCCTGATAAATAGACACAAATTACTATGCTTAATGAAGGCATTTGATTTTACCATACATATTAAGTTAAATTTCTTTTAATGAAGATTGGTTTATTTATTTATTTATTTTATCCTATTTTATGGCCTATAGTAATCAAGTGATTTCACATTATGTAAAGTCAAGTTTTGCTAAGCTATAGTATTCTAGCATGAAAACATTATATTTACCTGTTGATCTGATGTTGATGGCATCACATCTTGCATATTATTGCTATTGTACGTACTTTCCTCAGGCAGTGGTGGAAGTTTTGAATTTAGAAAATCTGAAAAAAGATCTACAGGACAGAAATTATCATTAAAATTCAATTAAAGAAAGAATAATCTAATTTTACTTTTTCATAAATATGATAAGAATTTAAAGTACAAATCAATGCAAAAATGCAACTTGATTTTATATGCCCAAACTTTATCTGAAATTAATAGAATTTACTTGTCCCAGAACTTGTACAGATGACAATTCTATTTCCTATATACAGGAGTAAAATATACAGTTGAAATATTTAGCAATTATACCAATCCAATTTTAAGCCAGAATAGGTGCTTTCAATTACAGATCCTGAATGTTTCCGAATTTCTTTAACAAAACAGGGAGCAAATTTTCAATTTTCACTTGCATTATGCATACTGAGTTCGAGCAATGAGAATTATAGAACATAAATGTAACATATATCAGATTTAAAAATAAATAAATAGTTGGTGCTCATCTAGTTCATGTATGCATTACTAAGATTGATCTCATTTTTTAGGTATCAAGGGTCAGGATGTCCAGGTTATATACCTGTACACATAGAAAAGCTAAAAACTTCATCAAACCAGAGTAACTGTCATGGGCAAGAAAAAGTTAGACAAAAAGGATACTAATGTGCTAAAATGAGCTGCATCTAAAAAAATGGAAAATGACTTCAACTCAAATTATAACGAAACTCAAGATTCTCTCATCTATTTGTATAAAAACTGCTAGTTGGGAATTTCATACAGTTCACATTCAAAGAAGTACAATTATGGCAAAGCCTAGAATACACACTAAATAAAATAAAGAATACATACTAAATGCCAATTTCATTGATGTCAAGAATGCAAAACTATAACTAAATGTAATGTGAAATATGCATTCAACAATAGTATACCTTAAAAATCTTTTCTATTTTCATGAAAATTTCTGTATGTAGAACTCTTCCATAGACATTTGATGTGGACTTTTTCGTGTTTAAAATGAAGCATGGAAGTGAACTGATTGAAATTTGGTCCACAATATCAGCAGTCTCTGGAAATGCTGATGATTGTTGGTGGTTATATTATTCTCAAAAACTACTCATGCATTCCTCACCTATCTGTTCAAGTATTTTACCACAAAGGAAATGCCATGTATCAAGAAAACAATACATCATTCATAAAGAATATGCATGCTAAATGCTGGTTTCAGTAGTGTCAAGAATGCAAAACTATAACAGAACACAAATGTAAAATAGGTATCGTTCAACAATAAGTATTTTAATAATTCTATGAAAATTTATGTGCATAGAGCTCTTTCCCAGGCATTTAATGTGGACTGTTTCACTTTAAAATGAAGCATGTAAGTGAATTGGTTGCAGTTTGGTCCACCATATTACTAAAAACTATGGGAATACTGATAATGGCTCATGATCATATTATTCTCAAAAACTACTGATGAATGTCATCTTCAGTTCAAATATTTTATCCCAAAGGAAATGTCATGTATCAGGACACTGCAAAACTTAAAAGTGGCTGAAGAACTTGACAGTGATCTTGAAAATCATTCTCATTTCCTGCACAATCCTCTGAGCTCAATGCCACTAAATTTGAGTTGCCTAAGATACTGGATAGAATTGAAAAATATTTTAATTCTCCTTTATCACGAAATTAAAAAGCTATTGTATTGCAAGAATACTGATTAGAAATGCTTTTAATAATTGTAATGCGACTTGTATCAATCATTACCAATAGGAACCACAGTAATGTTTCCCTTAAAAAAGGAGGGAGATTTACACATTATTAATAAAGTATTACAATCCAAATGCAGGTATTTTAAGTTTTTTTGCCTACCTTCTGAACATTAATAACTTTCATTTACTTTGCTCAATGGACTATTAACTTCTTTGACTGAACAACAATTTGGTATTTTTGAGATTTTGCTACTTTAATGATTAGTTCAATTTGTAGACTTAAATTTATTATTACCATATATATACACACACATACATGTAGAGTGTTTTCAATGCTCTATGAATTGAGCTCTAGTTCAATTCCTAGAAGTTACAGGATACTACTGGACAGAGACAAATCTTGACAAGTTTATGCAACTATCCTGTGAAATTCTGTTTAGTTTAGTTCAGGCCTTTGACTGATACAGGTGCATTTTTGTAACAATGTTTTTACAACAATAAAAGATGCAAAGAATAATAATTTTCTTTGTGGAAAGAGGATGTAAAAATTTTACAAATTGTTCAATATCTGCAAGGAGTACTTACCACATCTGAGGAAGGGGGAAACTTTCTGAGGTGCTTGATTTGAGAGTTTAAACATACCACAAATAAGTGAATCAAGGAGACACCAAAAAAATTCTTTGAGGATGGCTTTAAAAAATTATTTTTTTGTTCGGATAAATGTATTCAATTAAATGGGGATTATGTTGGAAAACTGTCTTGTAATACTGATGAGAATTGATGAAATAAAAAAAAATATTAGGTATTTATTAATTTCCTCATGCTTATGTATTTTTCCCCTTCACATATTTTATCCCTAGCATTTTTAATGCAAAGTCCAGAAACTTTTAATTTATTTGCATGCTTTTCCATACTCCTGCAATTTAGGAACAAGATACATTAACAAAGGATAAATAACTTTTGGAATTTCTAAGATTGATGTTCATTTCAAGCTCGTTCATGCAACACTTCAAACTCGTAACCCTAAGTAATACATTCTCTTCTCCCCAGTAGATAGAAAATGAAGCCAATTTAGATTACAAAAATATCTTTCTTGGAAAATACATCACTACAAAGTGTTGATAAAAGTAGAATGTTATATCTGTATACTCCATGGCAGTCTATGTTTCTGGAAAACACAAAGTTGCTGTAATGACCAAATACTTATATTACTGTTCCACATCTTGTTCATGTGATACCTCTTCAAAGACTATTTACATGATAAAATGAGTGATGAATGTATATATGGTAGAGCTTTTACCTTCCTTACATTTTCTGAATTTATTGCAAATGCTTTTAATGATAATAAGGAAGTTAAATTATACAATTTAACAATAAATTTTGCTTTTGACCACAGCTCAAGAAATAGTTAGCAATGTAAAATATGGATTTGGAAGCATTGAAGATATAATTAACAATAATACTAATATTTGAATTCATACTTGATCTTTACTTGAAAATACTAGACATGGGCTCGTGTGAATCAATCACACAGAAATTCTTCAGCATTCATCATATAATCCATTTAGTAAACTAACACTTTTGTTCAGCTTCTTTTTTAGTATGCTGAATGATAATGGTAAAAGCAGAAAATTATCATGAACATTAGTTATAAGTTACACTATCTCACACCATCAAATTTTTTAATAAAAAACAGCAAAAAGAGATGAGAGTACAGAAATTTACTCTCTGAATGGCACAGCTTAGTTTGCTCAAGATCTGTATTTAAACAGCAATTATTATCTAAATTTACATAATTATTAAATTTAGGTTCTATTAAGATGATATTTACATAATTAAAAGAAGTTAGAAAGCAAAATTCATTAAACTATTTTGGCATACAATTATACTATTTTGGCAACATAATGCTTTGTCTCATTAATACCTTTTTGCAACTTTTTGGTGGGAGTCGGAATAACACGTACCAAAACAGCAAATGCTTAAATTTTCCTTCAGATAATAAATTAAAAAAAATAATAATGTAATAATCTCATTTCTTGCTGCAAATTGCAGTTAAAGTTACTGAGTGTGTACAGAAATAAAAATATACTGCCTTGCTAGACAACATACTACAATCATTTTATAAGAAAAACGAGTATTTCAATTATCAATTTAAAAAAAAACAGTTTTCTTTGAAGTGAAAATAGGTTATGAATTTTAAAACAGTAGTAAATGTGCCCTTGGAAAGCAATTTTTCATACCTTATCTATGAATATGATACATTTTATATTTTTAACACAAATACTTGAAAAATTCAAAATGTATGAATGAATCTGAAATGCATATATTTGAAAACAATCTACAATTCTAAAGTTGATACTTATGTGTAATTGCAACCACCATAATAGAAATCACCAAATTTTCACTATGTGCCCAAATTCTGGCAACCATGCTGATAAAAATCCTTCAGTCAAGCAACGTTGCATTTTTGTAGGCGTGGTTTTTTTTTTTTTTTTTTTTTTTTTTGTGTGTGTGTGTGTGTGTGTGTGTGTATTCCAAGTTTCAATGCTTTATATTATAAATAAATCAAGATACTTTTTGCCTTCAACTTATTTTTAAGATATAAAGAAGATGTGTTTGGTAGATAGACGGTATTGCTGAGATATGCATGATGCCGGGTCTCTGCAGTTCAGAAACAGGAAAACAGATCCGGTCTGAAAAGGGATTGCTGTGTACTTCAGGAGAAGAATAGCATAAGAAAATGACATAAAGAAATGGTGAAGAATGTAAGTGTTTAATTTTTTAAATATATCACATGATCCTTATTAAATAATTTTTACATTTTTAATCACTAGTATTCTTTTCATATGTTGATAATATCTGCCAACTTATGATAAATATAAATAGTTTAGGAATCTTTCTAAAAAATTCAGGATAACCCCAAACTTGCACCTGATAATTAACTTTTCCCTTTTCATCTGTAAAAAATTGCCAGGTTGAGACAAGGTGGTTGTGTTAATATGCATGTACCCTAAAGTTTAATAAAATTTTATAAATACACTTTTTCAAATGAAATGTGACCTATTTTAATTCTCAAATATTCATAGTTACTAAACAGGCAATTAATAAAAATCTGAATTTTTGTAAAGTGACATTAGCTTTACAAGTTTACAAGTGAGAGATTTAAAAAAGCATAAAATGTAGTTTACTTCCTTGCAAACAAGATGCAGAATTTTTTATATTGTATGCAATAGGAGGAACTAGTATATATCATATATATTACATAACTATTTTATCTATTTGTAGGAATGAAAAATCGAGTGTTGAATATATGACGAACAGAAACAGAATTCTAAATTAAAATACATTTTAAAGCAATACATCACAAATTCTTACCTGACAGAGGTTCAAAGGTATCCATGAAATCATCTACTGATGGTTGGAGTTGAACAAGACCAGGTTGAATGAAATCTGCAATGCCTGCTTTGGCAGCTGCAATATTTATTGCATAAAATTTTGCATTAAAAACAGACATGAAAGGAGTCCCACATAAAAAATAATATTTTCTACACTTTTTTTTATAAATATTCTCTCTTTTTTTTTTTTTTTTTTTTTGAGTCGAAACATATTTAACTGGAAGAAGCATTTATAATAATAATTATTAATTTAAATCAATCAATCTTAAAGCATTAGTAGCTTTTCTTCAGCTACTGTTATGTAAGTTAACAATCAGTATGTAAAACAAGGTTAAACAGAAGGGCTAGCTCATTCCTTTGTGTGACTCCTCATCGATGCAATCCTCGTAGGGGTTTAACAGGAAGTAGTCTGATTTCACTATGTTGCATCTGCTCTGACTTCACCTGTTTAAAACTAGCAATGTGGATATCCCAAATTAATTTTACTCACATACATTGTTTTGTAGTAAATCAGTGTCAAATTGGTGGCTCATGGGACGCATGCGACCCTCGATGTAATCTTATTGCTGCTTGCGAATACATTTCCTGTAAGTTAATTAGAATTATTATGATAAGAATTTGAAGAAAATGTTTAAGATTTTAATGATCTGGAGTCCAGTTTTAAGTTATATTCATTATCAAAAATGAATGTAACTCTTTGGAAAATCTAGAAATAGAGCTAGCTAATTTACACTCTGATATATATCTTGTTCAAAGATTTTAAGATATAAATATAATTAACTTTTAATAGTATTTGTCAAAAGATAAATATCTTAAGTTACAAATTTTTGCAATAAGGATCCTCGCTTTGTTTTTGAGTACCTTTACATGGGAACAGTTTGTTTTTCATAGATGAAAACTAATAAATCTATGAAAAGAACCAGACTGCTGATAAGTATCTACAATTTGTGATGATACTCTTTAGTAATTCCCCTCCAAGATTACAAACTTCATGAAAATCGAAACGTCATAAGGTGGTGTAGCTGAAAGATGTAGTAAAAACAAAGATGTTTACAATAATTTACACACAAATACTATTTTTACTATTTTGCATCATACAAAAATCCAATAAAAGAAAGAAAGAGACTGTCATTTTTTATTCTCAAGGTTTGTCCTATATTTCTTCTTAGTTTAAATTAAAAGTAAGTTACTTAGTAGTTCAATATATTATATATATATTACTATTATTTACTATTAATATATATGTATTAGTATATTTATTACAATTAGTATATATATATTACTATAAGTTGAATAAATGCCCATCTGGAAATTTTTTTATTTAGCTGTCAGATTTTAATATTTAACTGTCTCTTTGAATTCCAAATTGTGACCAACAGAAATTTCTTGCACATACCAACTTCTAGATTTCAGGCAAAATATAAATTAGTAAACAGTTTTTAATTTAATTCACAAATTTTATTTTGTTAAAAAAAATCCTGACCCCCCCTTTTTGTAATTACTGCTCGTCAGCTACTTTCAGATTGTGCACTGGCCACTGATATTGTTTATGTAATATGTCATCTAGCAAGCTGCCATAAAATTCATTGAAATGAGAAAGATGATGATACTGTATTTTATATTTTTCCAAAAAACAATTTTCTTTTGGTGAAATAAAGGATTCTCTTAATGTGAAGATTGCAAGAATTTATTTGCAGTGAACATTTTGTATGCAGTGATTATGAAGATGACGTGGAAAATTATTCGCTTGGATTGCCATAAAAGAAACTGTTAAAATATAATGCTATGTAAAGAAAAGAAAAATAATGCAGAGTGCTTTTGAAAGACTACATGAATTAAATTTGAAGAAAACTAATTTTGAGGCTGATTACAAAAATGATGATAGGAATAATAAATCAAATATGAATGATTTTAAATAGAACTCACAATGACAATGCAAATATTGTTGAATGGACCAACTGTAAAAATAAAAATAAACAAGAATGCAATGATAATTTGCAAACAAGGAAGTTAGCTCATCATTTTAGGTATTTTATTGGGTCAGTCCATAAATTTGGGTGCATTTTTTGTAAATTTTTAATCAATTATATATTTTCCTCCATTATCTACAATGTCTCGCCATCTTACTGGCAGCTTTTTTATGCCAGTGCTGTAGAAAGTGGTTTTGAGGCAAAAAAACTTGAAAATTCATTGTGTACATCCTGCTTAGAATTTAATTTTCTTCCCAGTAAAAAATTTTGTAAGGCATGAAATAAGTGAAAATCACTTGGGGCAATATCTGGGGAGTAAGCAGGATGTGGCAAAAGCTCCCAATTAAATTCACTAATTTTTGCAGCGCTGTTCGAGCCATATGCGATCTAGCGTTATCATGATGAAACGACACTTTCTTGATATTCACTGATTGTGGGCATTTTTTGATCATTTTTAAGTTTAGACAGCAAAGTTGTTCACTATAAACTTCTGAATGAATCGTTTGATTTGGTTCTAACAGTTCAAAACGTCCTTTTTTAAACCACTTCTGAGCAGTCCTTACACTAATAGTGTGTTCACCATGTACACTACTAATTTTTATCGCTGCAAACCTGGCAGATTCACCACACGAAAATAAAAAATGTAGCACAGCATGTTTGCACTGATTACCTATATTCAACTTCTATGGGTACTAAAATGCGTTTGATATTTACGAAAGTTGGTGATGAACTGAATAATATGTTAGTCAAACGATGACAAGTTTCAACAGTTTCAAAATTGTATTGTTTTAGTAAATGCGTCATAGTAGATTCCACGCATACTCTTAAAGCGCACAAACTTATGGACTGGCCTGATATAATCATTTAAAATGTCAAAGTAATTTCGCATAAGAAAGATGTTCTTCCTTTTCTCCTATTTTGAAAGAATAAGTAATTCTCTTTAGATACTGTGAGCAAAGTTATTTTGTCAAACTTAAGACAACATACTTGTATTTATTTAAATGTACTGTATGTGTATAAATGTCAGGCAATTATTTTTACAATACCTATTATTATATCACAACGGAAGAGGAACACGCCAATGTAAAATTTATAATTAGACAAAAAAAGCAATTTTAGAATAAATTTTGAATAAAACTATCGATAAGCAATCTTAGATTAAATTTTGAATAAAACTATCGATTTCAAAGGCAGTGAAACATAAATTCCTCTTCTTTAGCTGCAGGGGAAAAAAAACTGACACATATATTCAAAACTATGTCAAACTAAGTCCCTCCCCTCAACTTTAAAAAGCTGTTGTTATAGTTATCTTAGAAAAAGTAATAGAATTCTAGCACTTAATATGCAGATGAAATAAAGATAATAAATGCTATAGTTTTTTTTTTTTTTTTTTTTTTTTCATGATTTAATAATAAATGTGCGGGGGGGGGGGACCTACAACTGTTAAAGCATATATTATCTATTATTTTTTAAATCACAAATAAATATTATTAACTTTTTAAATGTTATAAATGCTTACAGTAAAGATATCTTCTCTTCTAAATTAAAGCTATTTTTTCAAGCACAATTTTTTAAGGCTTTTTTTTTTTTTTTCCAAATTTAAAATGTTTATTTCTTTGCTGCGAATTGTTTCTTTGCAGTCGGTGCCAGCATGACTATGTCATCACTCCTCACTTCCTGTTTCAGAAGGGAAAGCTCTATGAACTAGCCCTTCTCTTCTATGTCCTGGTGTAAACTCAATTTAAAACATTCAGCTGAGATAAAAGAATTTACATTTGATAATGATGTTTTAAGACATAAGAAATTTATATTGAAAACAACAATGAGGTTTATGCCAGATCATGGTATTCAAAGTTTTCTGCTAACTTAATGTTAATAAATATATCAAATTATTTATTTACTTGCAAAACAAACTTTTAAAAGAGTCATACATAAAGCACGGTGAATCAGCATTGCTTCTACATATAGTGATGAGAAAAATGGCCTTCATTGAAAATCGTACCTATGATAAAACATCTGATATCGTTCATATATTTATAAGAACTAAATTTTATTTTTTTAATACTGTATTGGGAGAAAACTTAGTAAACTATAAAAGTTTTCCAATACAAATAAACACTAACTGTCAACAATAGTTGATCAAACCAGTACAAACCAAAAGGTGATTCACATATATTCTCAAAATACTAATTTTGGATCAGAAAATCCATTTTCACATTTTTAGAGTATTATTTCACAAGACTCTTCATTTTAAAAATATGTTTCATTTGCATAAAACCGAACATTCAACTAAAATTAAACCAAAATTTTGTTTTAATTGTTAGAAAATAATAAAAGTAAGAATTAATTTTTAAAACAGAAGTACTTGCTAAATCAGTAATGACTCATGCAGTGAAAAGAACATCAAAGTTATACACATTAAGATTTTTTATAAGCTTTTATTTAGTTGACTCATGGTGTTTTCACCGTAGGTAGAATTTTGTCATTGATTTTTAACCTATTTTCTTTTTATTATTTATTTTCCAGTTTTAAATTTTGTACATTGTTTACCAATGACAATGTAATTTTTTCATGATTCAAATTAGACTTTTTTAATTTAATTTTTAAATGACTTTTCACACATATCTTTGTTTAACAAACACGCTACGCAAATCAGAATTTTACTGTTTGCACCATCAAATACAGTAGAAAAAAATTTTCAATTAAACCTGCATGAAAAATTATAAACTAATTTCTGAATTTTTGGTGAATTTTGAAAAATCACTCGATTTTTGACACTATTTCACATTTAGAATTTTAAAATTTCAACATCTAAAACTACACAATTTTGAATACATTTGATAACTATAAAATTTTGAAATTTTCAAGGATAGATATAAAATTTTGAAATTTTCACAGACTGCAAAACAAACTTTTCATCTTCTTTTAAAAAAAGAATGATTAAAATATGTTATCCGAGAATTTTCCACATTAAAAAAAATAATAAATAAAAAAACCATCATAGTCTAAAGCAGACGAGGGAAAAATCAGTTTGTCCTGTTAGCTAACTTAATATCTTCACTGACTAATTTTCACTTTAAAATGCTTGAAAGAAAAACAAGTAATCCAGATATCTTTTCAGTTTTATACATCTCCACTTTTTCAAATAAAATTGTTTTAAATATTGTCTTCGCTTCTTAACGCTCTGGTAATACTGGGTGGCCACTTTTGCTTTTGAGAAGTACTTCACCAACTTTCCATAAGAAATATGATTTTCTACTTATGTACTTTCTGAAAGATCTCCAACTATTCCCATTTGGTTCTTTTGAGTTTTCTCTTACTTATTAATTCTAGGGTGGCTTTTTATGTTTCCATTTCAAGTATTTTCTTATAAATATGATACACCTTCATTACTTTTTCAGTAACTGAGGATACAGGAAATATATGACAGTCACTATACCTTTTTTCATATATTACTTTAAGTAACACAGTTCATTTACATTAACAGGCCACTGTTAAAAACAACTTAAAAAAATCTCTAAACAAGAAGGAAAGAAAAGAAATAACATGAATTAATCTTTACTTTGTGTTAACTGCAATTAGTGATAGTTCCCACTAATTAATAAAGTGATAGTGATAGTGAATAATATAATTAAGTGATAGTTCCAGTTATAATCATGCAAGGTGTCTATGTCAAGCCCCACACCGTTGTCATTTTCTGAGCTATCTGTGAATAAACACTACAAAGAAAGCCTTAACTTCTGTGATGTAATTGATTTCAATGTACACTGCTCGACATTGAAAATGCAACACCAAGAAGGAGTGGTCAGAAATTTATGCAAATTTTAGAGTAGATGCATGTCACCGAGTTATGCGAATGATGTGAAATGTGCAGCTCTCCGAAGCACATGAAGTAAGATATAAGGGAAGGAATGTGCAGAATGGGCAATATTCGTGTCGTTATTTCTGCCAGATGAATTATCGAAGAAAGCTGGTTCTTGTCCCGGTGGATACGTGTAATTGGAGAGAATGCCAGGCCGGCGTCAACGAAAGCACTTCCAGCCAGATGGATGATTTTACGAGGGGTATGGTGAACGGACTGAGAAGGGCGGGTTGGTCCTTACATCAAATCGCAGCTGATACCCACATGGATGCGAGCACGGTGCATCGGCTATGATGAACATGGTTAGAACAAGAAAATGTGGGAAGAAGGAAAGGTGCAGGTGCAGCCAGAGTGATGTCAGCACACGTGGATCGACGTATCCGCCGACAAGCTGTGGCGGTCCCGCATGTCACTTGTACCATGATTCTGCAGCATGTGCAAGATACCCTGGATGTTCCTGTATCAACCAGAAGCAGTTCCCGTCGATTGGTTGAATGTGGCCTGCACTCATGGCATCCATTAAGAAGACTGCCATTGACCCCACAGCATAGACCCAACGTTTAGAATGGTGCCAGACTGGAGCGATGTGGATGACAGAATGGCGAAATGTCGTGTTCTCAGATGAGTCACGCTTCTGTTTATCCAGTGACAGGTGCCGCATACATGTGTAGCGTCGACGTGGAGACAGATCTAATCTGGCATTAACTGTGGAACGCCCCACCGCACGACAACGTAGCATAATGGTTTGGGGCACTATTGCCTATGATTCCAGGTCACCTCTAGTTCATATTCAGGGCACTATGATGGCCCATAATTCTTGATGGATACTTGGATAATGTACTGTGGCTGGTGGCAATCCCCTACCTCCAGGGGCTACCTAATGCAATTTTTCAGCAGGATAACGCCCGACCACACAGTGCTCGCATCTGCCAACATGCTCTGCACGGTATACGGATGCTTTCCTGGCCACCGTACTCTCCTGACCTGTCACCAATCGAACATGTGTGGGATGTGATTGGACGCCATTTGCAGACTCTGCCCCTGCCTCGTTCAGAAGATGAACTGTGGGCAAATAGTTGAAAGGGAATGGAGAGCCATCCCTCAGGACACCATCTGCACTCTTATTGACTCTATGCCTAGACGTGTTTCTTCGTGCATCGCTGTCCGCGGTGGTCCTACATCCTACTGAGCCGACGCCATTCTCGCTCTGTATTCTGACTATCATTTTGAAATAAAGATCACTTATTGCTGCTTGCTGTCTCTGTCTTTCTTCCAAATTTCATCACTTTCTGACCACTCCTTCTTGGTGTTGCATTTTCAATGTTGAGCAGTGTATGTTTTTTTTGGCAGTCACTGAAGAATGTTTAACCATATCAGAAGGTCAAACATTAGTAATTTTCTGAGTCAAATGACTTAGTACTGAAATTTGATGGTTGTTTGACATTTCTTTCAAGAAATTATCAGAAAAGTCCTAATAAGCTCTAGATCTTTAAGTATTGTTTGACATTAAGTATTCTTATTTCAAATAACTACTGAATTCTAAAGATGTACTAATTTTAAAAAGTCCTGCGTCATTCTTCTGACAGAAATATCTTCTAGAAGAATCTTCTAGAATTTTCTATAATCTTTCTGGAAGAATATGTAAACAAAAATAATTTTTCCTCATACCCCCCCCCCAAAAAGCAGGAATTGTGAACATTTACAAATAGATCAAACTCAACTTTAAACTTACCTCAAAAAACAATATTTATTTAACTAGTGATAATACTAAAAAATTAAAGAAATAAAATTTTTCAACTAACTAAGATTTATTCAATATGTAATTAACTTCTGTGCTAAAATTACCCATTCCTTCTTCTCTCTAATATTTTTTTTAATGACATAGCTGCCAATCTTATATAAAGGAAACCAGGAGATTCTTGAGGGGGAAAAAATAAGTTTTCCGCGAGGTTTTCATGCTGTGTGGAAACACCATTTTAAAAGTACTCCAAATTCAATGTATAGTATACGATTACAGCTACCAAACTACATATTTATACAGTTATCAAACTCTTTTGATGTAAAATAAATTAGTATTTAATTAGATATTCTAAATTTTATGAGCTCTGATTAATTTTATTTGGTAATTTTTATACACCTTTATATTTAAAAAATCCTGAACAGGAAAGAAAAGCTTTTATTTATCAAAGTACTTTTAATTGTGATGAAAATGAAATTAATAATTAATGCACATGCTATTGTGTATTGTACATTTACTGATATTAATTTATTAATCTTTCATTGAATCTTCATAAACACATCAAATACAATTCAACAAGAAAAACTACGCTTAAGGGAAATGATGGGGGAATAGTATTAATTTGCATAGTTTAAGTTTCATTAATTCGCATAGTTTAAGTTTCATTAATTCAGCAAATTTAATTTATTAGATGAAAACATCAAATACAAGGCTTAAAATTAAAAAACGGAAGATTCTGTGGTCTACCAGGACATATAATGAAAGAAAATGAGTCTCCCGGTAAAATTTGGGAGTTAACAGCTATGAAATGATAAAAAAAATCCCAATTTTTTTTTTTCTTTCCACATGTTTGCTCAGAAGGTTAGTATATGGATAACAGTAATATCTTCATATTTTAAATATACTACTTTACTTTGACCTACCTACATCCTGCAATTATAATCAACAAATGAACTACTTGGCTTAATGCTGAAGTGCAGAATTATTAAAAATTTTGTTTAAAAAAATTTAAACAATAATGAATATGCGAAAAATTCAGAGTTGTATACTCATTATTTTCTTGAAAAAAGAATTATTACTTTTAAAACATTACAACTTTTGGGCATTCTAAATAAGAATATGCCCTTAAAACAATGATTAATATTAATTAATGCTTTAATATTAATTAAAGTAAATAATAATGCTATATCATGTATTTATAAAAAATTTTCATTCGCTAAAAAAGTACTTTTTCATTAAAGCCATATTACTTGGCTTTATTTATTTATTTTTGCATATTTCCTCAGTGACAAGTGGGCCCAAACTCGTTTGACTTTTTTCCTGATGATAACTCTCTTCATAACTATTTCTCATGTAACCATTTTTTTTAATCTGATCATAGTTGCTTTTTTTTTAGTTGCTATGGATTCTACTGTTGAAATCTGGAATATTTAACAGTAAAGCAATCTTGCCATTTCGTAGATCTTGATACTATGTACCATACAAGTATCTTGAGAGGCCTATGCGTAGTGAAAAATGGTGCAAGAAACACCAAAGAGGCATTGCTTCCAACAGTCAGACTCATATTTAATTGAATTCCTATGTAGTCACATGCATTCCAAAAAAGATATGTTCTCTGATATGCTAAAAGCTATTTTTTTATTTTAGTTCTGCATGCTTTAGTTAGTCAATTAAAAAAAAAAGGTTTTAGAACAATCACCAAAAGAAATTTGGTAAAATGAGGAGATAAAAAAACTAGAGGAACACCTAGTATGGGGGCAAAGAAATGGAAAAAGAAAAATGTAAAAAATGTAAACAAAGAAAAAACATATTTTTAATATAAAAAATCTTCTCAAGCAATACAGTAACATCTAAACTAGCCTTGTTACTAGTACAGTTCATATGACATGTAAAACTCACTTGACGTGTAAAACAAATTTTATAATGCTGTTTCAGGAGGAATATGTCTCTAAGTAATTATATTAGAATTAGAAGCTACGATAATTTCTTTATTAAATGTCTAAATGGAGCATTCCATGCAGGGGACCTCCAGTATTTAATGGCTAGTTGTTTACTGGATAATTGCTGATTCTCTTGGCCCAAATATATTTAAAAAAATGAAGAAAGAAAACCAGTTACAAATTATTTTTCTAAATAAAATGTTCCGAAACTCAAAACTAATTAGTTTAATGTAATGCAGTTTCTGAAATACAGAAAAAATTTTGTAAAGGGTTTTAAAAAAATTAAAATCAACAATAAAGTCGATCTTCATACTCACCAATTTCCCTTGGATTTGGGAAATCAAATGGCTGACTTGGATTGAAACTGCTAAATAATGTGTCACTAAAATCCATAATAAAATCTTCTTCCATGGCACTTTGGAGGCTTGAATATGTATCTTTGGGCCAAGAGGGCCATCGAGTATCCAAATCCATGGCCATCTAGAAATGACATATAACCATCACATATTATAATCCAGTAATATGTTTCAAACATGTTTAAATGCAACATTCAAGAGAATTCAAAAAACAAACTAGCAGGATTCATGAGAATAATTTTCCCAGAAATTTTTCACTTTCCATTATATGTAATCCAGATAGTTTGTCTTGCATACTATTATGGCTGGTTTCTTTGATCTTTTTCGATGCTCTACAATAGGGTTTCTTAAACTTTTTTCAGTCGCGACCACTTTTCATCACTGAGATTCTTTCACAACCCCAGGAACCCATAATATTTACAAAAATTTTGTGGGACCCCATAAGCATTGTGCAAATCCGACATACACGTGTGTGAAACTGTCAAGTTTTCACTTATACTGTAATATATACTATTGCAGTTTTAAGTCATTAACTTTAATTTCTAATTTTAAGACATAGAACAATGTGAAAATTTTAAATAAGTAACAGACGAAATGACAGCATCACGTGCAAAACAAGTAAAATGAACATTTCTATTATAAAAAGAATGCATTGAAACATTTTCTTTTTTTCTTTGTCTGTATTATCTTTATCTATTTTCAGATACATTGTGTAAAAATATTGGGAATTGTAAAATTATTATAATAAGAAATATCAAAACTGCTAAATTTTTGGTGACACTCTGCTGCAGGTCCCGCGACCCACAGTTTAAGAAACTCTGTTATAGAGCATAAATTTAAATAATCAAGATTTTGGAAAACCAAAGTCGCGACCCAAAGTTTAAGAAACGCTGCTCGAGAAGAAACATTAACTAGGACTTTTTTATGCAATTAAAGAAGAAAGGGAGTTTTACTAAAGAAGTAAAATACATGATCGTTATAAAATAATTATAGTATCAGTGAATTCTTCAATAAGGACAGGAAAAATAAAGTATCTACTTATATATGAGCCAGTACTGATTTAATGTAAACAAAATTAAAAAAGAGACAGTAAAATTTTCTGACAGACTTTGAATTTGGAATAATTCCTTTGTTTATAATTTCTGTACTTGACAAGGAGCAAACAGCACTGCTTTTAATATTTTTATTTTAGTTCTGTTTATATTTTTAATATTTTTCAGTGATGTTGCCATGAATGCTCATTATTTTCTTCTGTGTCACCAAGAAAGTGTTGATTTTATACATTATTTCCCAGCCCATAAGACATACTTTTTTTATTCCAAAACGTGCCCTAAAAATCAGGGTGTGTCTCACGAGACGAGGGTGTAACTTTTCCCTAAGACGAAAGCTGATTAGCTGGGAAAAGTACTATTAAATATTTTTTCCCACATCATGCACTGAGAATTGTTGCCTTTATAATAAATGTCAATAATAACACAATATTTTACATACAGTTTTAATATTTCCTTGACAGTACTTCCTAAAACAATTCCAGAATAAATAGCATACATGTCTTTATAAAATGCAGTGTAATGTAGTTTAGTTTCATCTCACATGTAAGACCATGGACCATGACAACTGTTTCAGATGCATCATTTTTATAAAATGGACAAAATTATAAAAAGTTCAGTTTTAGTAACGCGCATATTAAATGCAAATTAATGAGAATAAATAACACTACTTCTTGTGCAAAACCACCCTGCATCAATAACAAGTTGTATTATAAACAACAACAATAAATAGCATGAGCAGTACGCAAGCAATTTTGCTTTCAAAGCTTATCTAACTTTTCCCATTTTTCTGCACTGTCACTCACTTTAGCCCAATTAACATTTGAAAATAGTAATATTCTTTCTTTATTATTACCTTTTAAAATGCAAGCAACATTTCATCAGAGCTGCCATAATATCTACACAACTGCTCGTTTACATTGTGCTAGGCGTTTCAAAATAAAAGGGCTTTCCTGACTGGCCAATTTCTACTAGTTCAAAATAAAAATAATAACGCTTTTATACAGGGAAGATAAATGTTGCATAAAAAGTTAAAAGTAGAGTACCCTCATGGGATCTAAAGAGAGAAGGTTGACATACAGTATATTGCATTTAAACTTAAGTCATGAATTATACAGGGTGCAGCAGGGAAACTACCTTATTTTTAAAATGAATAACATAAATAGTATAAGCGATATCAGTTTAATTTTTTCCTAAGTTATAAAGAGACACTTAAAGCTTTTTTATTACGGTTTAAAAATAATATCATTAAGGTGGCCTCCGTTCTGGTCAATGCATTGAGATAGTTGAGTTTCGAAGTTTCTTTCCACTTTTACCATCATATCAACAAGTATGTTGTCGATAGCAGCTTGAATATTGTTCTTCAGTTGAGCCAGGGTCTTTGCACGTTAAGAGATTTCAGACAGCCCCACAAAAAGAAATCGGATGGCTAAATCAGATGAGCGCACTGGCCACTGACAATCACCTCGTGAGGAGATAAGGCGTCCAGGGAAATGTTCTCCAAAAAACCATGGTCCAATGATGCCTATTCTGGACGATGCACACCAAACGGTCACACGCTCTGTATGGAGGGACTGCTGATAAAATTCTTGAGGATTCGAGCCACTTCCTTATCGCATGTTTTGCTTAATGTATGATGCAACCGGAAAGATGAAAATGAGCCTCATCGCTAAAGAACACAACGGCATTATGAGGAGTACTGTCAGGAACGGCTTTGCATGCATTTTTTCGTGAAAAAAAATCGTGTGGATTAAGTTTTTGCACCACTGCCAATTTATATGGATGAAAATGCAGTACGTTGAAAGTACGACTCCACGGAGAACGCGCGCTCCTCTCTCGTACACTGCATGATCGGTACTAAATCTACATGACATAAAACTTTAGATACCGCTCTTTTCAGTGAGTGCCACCCCACCTTTCTCGGAATAAATGTCGCTAGATGGCACGTGTTTCAAATAAGGAAGTTTCCCTGCCGCACCCCGCTGAATAATGAAGCTGAAAGGTGTTTGCCCCACCTTCGACTCAGTAGATGATTAAAGAATGCAGGAAGCAGAAAACAGTGAAGACAGACAAAAGTAAACTTTATGTTCATGTGCTCTTAAATGGCTAAAGCTTGAGGAACATGTTCAGAACTAGATAATAAATCACAGGAAGAATGAGATTGTTTCAACAAAACTGATTTTAAATGAAGGGAAAAAAAAAAAAAAAAAAAAAAAAAAAAGGTGATAGGAATGTCTATTACCAATTTTTCTGGGACAACGTTATGATGCGAGACAGTCAATAAGAGAAATTGTTTGTGCATGCATATTAGGACTACAATAGCACAAAAACTATTGCTTGAATAAAAAAAAAAAAAAAAAAAAAAAAAAAAAAAAAATACAAAATTCCACAAATACATATAAACTTGAGAAAAAAATAATTTTTTTCAGACATGACAAACAGGAAACATGGATGAGGTACCCTTGACATTTGACATACCATCAAATAGAACAGTGGATGATAAAGGTGCTAAGATAGTAATGATAAAACTTCTGATAACAAGAAATGCAGTATACCAAAACTATATTTCTCATATACTATGTGACTTGTGAGTTGTGCTGATGGTTTAAAACTCCCTCCTTTGTTAATGTTTAAATAAAAAATGCTCCTTAAACGTTCCCACCTAGGACAAAATAATGCAAACACCTGTGAAAAAGTATGATGTATTTCACACCTGCAGTACAGCCGCGCGTGCCACCTGCAACAGAAATCTGCCACCTAGTGAGCGTGAAGAGGAAGGTATCAGTCTCTCAACAGCAGTCACCTGCGTTGTATGCTTCAATCAAACTGCCTGTGAGAAGTTGAAATGTCAGACCTGTTAGAGTTCCAAAGAGGAATGATAGCTGGAGCGTGTTTAAGTGAAGCATCGGTTACAGAAACAGCAAACCTTGTGGGGTTGCACAGAGTACGGTATCAGCCGTTATGACAGCGTACACAAAAGAGGGTAAGACGACGTCTGCAAAGCACAAGAGTGGCCGAAAGTCAAAGCTGGCTGATAGGTATAGACAGGTCTTGAACCGCATAGTAGCCCGAAAGCACAAGTAATCATTATCCGAGATAACATCCGAAATGAACAGTCATCTCCAGGACCCCGTTTCAACAAAAACTGTCAAAAGAGAATTTCATGCTGCGAACATTTATGGCAGAGTGGCAATTCGTAAACCCTTGGTGACAGCAATAATGCTTTCAAGCAATGCCAATGGTGCAGAGATCACAAAGGCTGGTCCCCACAGCAGTGGCAACAGGTAATATGGTCAGATGAATCGTCATTCACCTTATTTCAGACAACCGAACCATTTATGTCTGAAGAACGCCCAAAGAAGCGTTTCAGGCTGACTGCCTCTTGCTGACTGTGAAGCATGAAGGTGGCACCATTATAGTATGGGGTGCCATAGTTTGGCGAAGTTTTGGGCCACTTGTCATTTTGCATAGGAGGATCACATCCAATCACAATCTAAACATTTTAAGGGATAATGTCTATCTTTTGTAGAGACTGTATTCCCTGGGAAGCAACCACTTTTTCAAGATGACAACACCCCTATCCACACTGTTAGATGTATTCAAGAATGGTTCGAAGAGCATGACGATGCAATTGAACGTTTCGCTTGGCCCCTTCAGTCTCTGGACTTGAATATTATTGAACATTTATGAGCATATTTTGGAGTTTCAAAATTCAAAATTTACAAAAAAAAAAAAAAAAAAAAAAAAAAGGCTTTATTTATTTGTTTACTTTATTAAACATTTCTTTCAATGTAAGTTGTTTAAGATGCTTCCACAAAAAATTCAAAAAGTTCCTTTTCCTGTTTGCTTATGTCATATACAGATGACTTTTCAATGTCATACTCCTCGCATAATTTTGAGACGGACATGCCTTTATCCATTTTTTGCAGCAATTCCACTTCTTGTTTGAGGGACATCGAAACATGCTTTCTCTTTGTAGATCCTTTGGCAGCTCCAGAATTGGAAACTCTTTTTGACATAATCGAAAGTTCAAGCTTAATTTTTATAAAATTGTTCTAACAGTCTGCAAAAAATAATAAGTCGGATCCAATTAGATTAAGGAACAGCGCAATTTGCAACACTAACTGAAATGCCTTAGATAATTTTAGCCTAACTTATACCGTCCATTATACATTAAACGCGCATGCATAAAAGCATTATGCGTGTATGCATGCGCATAAAGTTTGTAGCTCTGAGTCCGGATTATAGATCATTCCGGATTATGGACGTCCAGATTACAGACATTGTACTGTATATTCTTTTTATATTTAATTATATATTCATTCCGAAGGATGGAAAGTGTATGAAGCTGTGGTGACAGAAGTTGTGATACAGGCGTCCAGGTGGACATCTGAAGAGAATGTCTTTATTAGTGTAAAGGCCCATATAAAAAAAGTCAGCAAAAATCTTCATTACTGAATTGAAGATGCATCTTGCTGTGATTCCTGGAGGATTGACTTATATTACAGTCTCTGAACAATTCAGTCAATAAATCATTCAAGGGATTTATACATGAAAAGTATATAAAGTAGACTGAGGTGCCAGCTCATGACCTCACACTGATGGGAAGGATGAAACGGTTGTCAATTTCTAGTGTTTGTGAGTGAGTGAAAGAGTCCTGGCAGTTAAAAGTGAGACTAACATAAAGTCTTTTAAAAATTATAGATTTAGAAATCCACTAGAGGGAAGTGAAGATGACATTGTGTCTAAGAAAAGAGACAAATCTAGGGACAGTGACAACCTAAGTGAAAATAGCAGCATATATAATTTTAGCAGCAGTGATGACAAACTTATGGGATTCTACAATGAGACTGATCTTTTTCTGTCTGATCCAAGTATTTTTCATAAATTCAAAACTGATAAATTACAGCGCGTCTTAAGTGTCGATACATCTTATAGACCAGGAAATACCGTAAATGAAGCAGTGTAATATAATAATATAAGAAAATTTTACTGAATTACATAAAGCACTATTCTGTTAAACAGCATTTTGCCATTTCTCTGACAGTTAGAAAAGTCATTAGGTTTATTCTTAAAGAAGTCAGCAAGGTGCTGTTTGAAAGTCTCCAATAAAGAAAACTCCACACCATTCAGGTAACTTTGAAGTGACCTGAAAAGATGAAAATCTAAGTGGGCAAGGTATGGTGTACAAGATGGCTGACATAAAACTCAATAAATCTTTGTCTGACATTCACTGAAATGTGGTGCCGAGTATTGTCTTGATGGAAGACATCATCTCGATGACTAGACAATTCTCAGAGCTTTGTTTGATTTTTATCATTTGACTTGGTAGCAATAATTCATAATATACAATTTCTTTGTAATTCTATCATACACAAAGCATTACATTTCTGGGATGCAGCCCCCCTTCTCGATGTTACCAAAGAAGGTTCATTCAGTTTACCCAATGATCCTTTTCTTGCAACATTATTGTATCCACCTCTCATTTCCAGTTATGAGTCATTTAAAAACAAAAAAGTGGCTCCTTTATTTAATCTGAGCAAAGAATCACATGCCAAAATTCAAGTAAACATATTTTCCGCTCTCTTAAAGCATGGGATACCAATACATAGTAACACCTTACATATACAGTCTCCTTCAAACGATTATGTACAAAAGGTCTTTATTTATACAGGATGGTAACTCAGATTGAGCATCATCTTCAAGGCTGAAATTTCCACACTTGCCGCCCAGTCAGTATGGTGGTCAGGGAAGCTGACTGCGATGCCGAAGGGCCTGGGTTCGAATCCCGGAGAAGGCATGGTTGTAACTGTCCGTTCCTTCATAGGAAAGGCAATGGTGGCCCACCTATTAGGTGCCTCCATATAAAGAGACAACCACATTCGGCCTTGTATAGATTAGTGGACTGGGTTACATTTGTAATTGCTCACAATCTGCCATTGGAAAAAAAAATTTTTTTTTTCCACACTTTCAAGCCTCCTTCAAAACTTGTCTTCAGAAACAGCACTTTGTTCAATACAGCCAAATTTTACAAGCCATCTAATTAGTAATTTTGTCTTTTATAAAAATAAAAGAGCATAATATGATGAAAACAAATTTACTGGTTTCCCATTCTGAGCATTGCACTGGAACAAAAATTGTGCCACAACACATACCAGAATTATGCAGCATATGCAAAAAAAGAGCAGATTTACACATCTGCTTCAATCAAGATCACTCCTTACCAGAACTTAAAAACCAGTAAGAAGAAAATGCACTTCAGTTTAAAAAACCACTCAGGATGACCAAATATATTTTTCGAGTAAATTTTTACGAATTAAAATATCATACTGAATACAAATGTATATTTTCAGATACCATAATGTCGGTTATATTTAGATTAATTTCCTTAACAAAATAAGTAACAAAAATTACATACATTTTCAGTTTCTGGACTAGGTTTCAGCCTGAATCGATCTCGGTAGAAAAGCCTCCATTTTTTGTATTCTGCTGTAATATTAGCCATCTTCCTTTTCCAATATGTTCCTTCAATGACAACAGCCTGTTGATATCAATATATGCAGTAAATATATAAGAAACACACAATAACTTGCAACTGAATGCACAATATACAAATAGATAAAACGTTATTTCATTAATTTTTTTAACTTCCATTTTGGTAACTTCAAATCACAAACCACCATTAATTTTTTTTAATATTAAAAAATACCTCACTTTTTTTTTAAATATCTACCACTGCTAAATGATAAATATAAATCTTTAGTGCTAAAATACAAAACAAATTCAATGACAAATAATAGCAATAATAATAAATTTATTCAGTTACAAAAGCCCAAAGTCTGTTTCAATATTTTATTTCTCAAAGATTTAGAAAGAAAGTGTCAAAATATATATAAAAAAGTAGATTTAGTTATATTCTGACACTTATAAATTTTTTAATTCTTAATATTTTGACACAATATTGAAAAAAAAATACTTTAAGAATTGCATTCTATATGCTAGTATAAAATTTCATTGATTAATTGAAAATTTGTCTGTGATGATTGATTGATTGGTGATTTTGATTAATTGCTGATTTGTCTGTGACCAACAGCTGTGAATATACAGGCCATGTAAGATTTTCTACATGCATGCTGCACGTGTATACTGTCACGAGCTATAGAATCATTGATATTTCTTTAAATAATGAGTTCAGATAAGCAGGAAGAAATGAACAATTTATTATGAAAATCAGGACAATAAGTATTATGCACAGCACTAAAACAGCTGGAAATTTCTTAAGGGGAATGTGGTACTAAACCTTCCATAGCACATGAAATGAATCCTTAAGTTCCTCAAACCACTTTCAGGGTGAACCCTATCTTGTAATTCAGCTAATCACTAAATATCACAGCTGATTCACAAATGAACTCTCTAGTACTCCACCGATATTTATACTCTGTAGCATGGACTCTGGAAACTTCTGGAAGAACCGGTCATAGGATTTCAAAAAGATGTTTTTGTGAATCTTCTAAAAGTTACCAAGATGTCAAGGAGTTATATATTGGCAACTCAGAGATGTCAACTTTCTGCATATCTTCAACCCATTTCTGAAATTTTTCTTTTATATCATTCGCTACTTCAGAATCCCAACTTAATTATGATTACCAACTTTCTTGAAGCAAAATTTGCACTGTCATTGGCTTTGTGAAATAAACTGGATGAAACACTCAGTCAGACAAGGACAGCAACAGGCACTTCACTAGCTCGATTATCACAAAAGAGGAAGTCTTCAGTTGTTCTAAAAGACACCCAAAACAGGTGAAATCTGTTATTCTTCATTCAATTTTGTTCTTTTGGTAAACTTCCACCAAGTTCAAAATTAGTATTTGCCATCATTTCCAAAGAACACTTTAAGAATCCCAACTTAATTTTGATTATCAACTTTCTTGAAGCAAAATTTGCAATGTCATCGACTTTGTGAAACAAATTGGATGAAACACTCGGTAAGACAAGGACATCAGATGTCTTGTCACTTTTCCATCAGGCACTTCAATAGCTTATCACAAAAGAGGTTATGAAATTACCTATTAAGGTTATGAAAAGTTATAAGGGTTAAGAAAAGCTCCTATTATTATTATTTTCCAGCTCCTATTAAGAATCCAGAGTGATGACAAAATTTATATAAAAGGAATTTCTTAACCAAAACTTCTTGAACACAAAAATTATTATATTGATTCTAAATGGTGTTGAATAACAGTACCCAATAAAAAAAAATTACAATTCAGGCTGAAGACAACTCTACAATATTGAAATACTTTGATGATCTTTTTGATTCTATCCTCTCACCATAAAAATTTCAAATGTTTTCTATCTTCCCCATACACACATATTTGTTTCTTTTATAAATGAGATCATGCCTGCTTTCTTTTCCCTACATTTCATTACTACTGAGGGAATAGTATCTACCAAATTTGGACCTTTTATCAAGCAATGTTTAAACTACTTCTAGTTTAAGAAGAAGCATCACAGATCTCACAGCTTGTAGTAGAATGGGCTTTAAACATGCCTCAGTGAAGAAGTTAATGACCTGGTCTATGACCAGAAGTTTTTATAACACCTCTTAGCAAGCACAGGGTTTGTGATAAACAGTAGTGCTAAAATCAGATTCATTGTGAATTATAAGAATATCAAATATAAGAATAGCAAATTCAGAGATACCTCATTTTAAACTTGCCTTGAGGGTTAGGATAATTATTGGTGTGGTGTCCACATCAGATTTTTTCTTTTAAATATTAACCAGCAGAAGCTGCGAAAAAGGTTTGCTTTTTATTATTCTGCTATGATACTGCTTTTCCCATGCAAAATCTTAAAAAAATCTAGAACTGAAGTGTGCTTGTATAAGAGTGATGAAGCAAAGACCATTGTAGGCATTTCAGCAAAATGATAAAAATAGGAAATCTGGGAGGATATTATCACAAGTCAAAGAAGAAAAAGATTATACTGTGTGTTCTTTTAGAAATAGGGAATAAGATTTCTACCATACACTGTTTTAATATTTAACATTAGTTTAATATTTAAAGCAAATTTAAAAGTAATGGTAAAATTTCAAAATAAGCCATATAATTCCTTTAAACATAAAATCATTATTAAATTCTTGTAATATATAAACTAATTCTTAATATGTATAATATAAATTTAGTAGAAAACTTGAATCTTATATTGGGAATAAACAGATATTTGAAATAGATCAAGCAAAAAATTCTTGATGCAGCTTTAATTTCAGCTACACGTACCTTCCCATTAGTACCAGGAATTGTCAGTAAAATTCTACATAAGGCCCAGTACCAAGGGGCCAAATTCTTATCCTTAAGCGAAACCACTGCACCTGTTTGTGCATTGAATTTTTGAAATAAACGTAAACTGGAAGAAACATGACAAATATTTGGAGGAACATCACAGAAATTTTGAAGATGAAGTGCATATTGGAATATGGGAGATTAACACCCTCAATAAGACTGACAATTTCAAAGAACTGGGCATCAGAGAAAAAAAAAATTTTTTTCTTGATCTTTTAAAAACACACATTTGCATAAAGCTTAGAAAATAAGTTTTTAAATACCGTGTGGATTTCGAGCCCAAAAGATATAGTTGAAGAAAACAGAAAGATGTTATAACTGATGACTTTCAGGGTGGTGAAGATGCTGATGTTTTTAATGAAGGACAAAGTTTGGTGATATTATCAAATGATTTTTGTAATCATATTTTGTGGCACTCCTGGTCGTTCCATAAAGTCTGAAAATTGTCTTGCTGTTCCTGTAAAGGCAACAGCAAGACAATTTTCAGGTTTCTGTTTACCTATAAATTGAAATTAGTGATGAATCCCATGATGTCTGAAGTATTTAAAGCTGTTTGAAAAGGATCATAGAAATACTGTGTAGAGACATTAGGTTAATTGGAAAAGCTAGAGAGATGAAAAATTAGCTACGCCTTCGCCGGGAATCAAACCATGGACCTCTCAATTATGCGCTGAGTGTGCAGACCACTACACCACAAAGGCACGCCAAGAAAGCGGGAGAAATACCTTATAGACTCCCTCTTTTAAAGGGCAACTGGGGTTTTAGGGGACCCAATCGCCAAATCCTCCGTTTGGAGAATCATCATCCAACACCCTTTTAATTCGGGCGTCACTGTAGAGTCGTTAGTTTTTTTTTTTATTTTTTTTATTTTTAATCAAAAGATTGAAAAATTAGCATCTGCCTTTGCTGGAAATCGAACCACGGACCTCTGAAATATTGGCTCAGTGTGCTGACCACTACACCACGAAGGCTCGCTAAGAAGGCGGGAGAAATACCTTATGACTGTTTATAGTGTCCTATAGAAATGATAAGAATATTTTTGTTTCCAAAAATATTATTCAGAAGAATTTTGGTGAACTAAATTGAAACTATAAAATATGATTTTGTTTGAAACATATACTTGTGTAGTCACTGTTGATAGGTTGCAGTTGTGGACTGTATATGATTTCATAAAAGCCACATTAAAAAATATTCACCAAAATTTGGGTTGGGTTCACCAAATTTGAAACTCCCCAAACATGAATATTTTTATAGTTTAAAACACTTCTGTAACTGAAAGTATATTTATGTCTACAACGAACGATTATGAAAATAAAGGATGAAAAGCTGGTTAAGGACTTTTAAGCTGGGTAATAGGGTGGGTATATTATATATGCTTTTAGTACTGCCAATTGCAATAAAAAGGGGAGGTGCACAACTAGATGTTATAGCAGTCCTATAATGCAAAATTTCAACATTCTACAGCTAATCCTTTTGGGTTATGTGATATACATATGTGTGTATGCACAGATGTCCCGAAAAAATCCATTTTATAATCTGTTTGGGAATAAGGAGTCCTTTATTCTATTCAAACATACAGACATCAAGAAAATATTTGTCAAAATGATTCAAGAACAGCAAAAATGGATCTTTCTGTCAAAAGCCTGAAAATTATCACCGTTACATTACATTCTTTACTTTGTAAAATGTATCCAACTTTGGTTAGGGAGGTTGAAGTACAACTTACATGAGATTTTTCATATATTTTGTTTGATTGTTTATGAATCACACAATTTATGACCATTACAGCAAATTTTGCTTTCATTAAAAATTAAAACTAGATTGTCTCCGAAGAGTAAAGATAGACAGAGCTATTACTATCACTGAGCAATCACAGATTCAGAATTATAAAGAAATCATTCATAAACCTCACACAGAAGGTCCAAAAATTAAACTTGCTCAAAACTGATGGATAAACATCCAAAAAGGAATTCTCATTATAATTAAGTTCGTTATTTGTTACGTCAAAGCTATTACAAACTATCTTCACCTACAAAAAAGCCAAGAAAATCCTACATAGCTAATATGTTTAGATGCTATGAGTTATGTCCAGGACATACTATCAACACTGAGTGACTATATCTATTCAGTTGAGATAATTTTGATGCAACAAAAATTTTGATACAACAGCTTCAGATAGTAATTGTTAGACACAAATACACACACATAAAAATAAATATTTAGTTAAAAATTAATTTTTTTAAAATCTACCTACATATTTTATATATAGAGAGAGAGATAAACAGGCATATTTACATCAATTCATGTATCCACATTAAATTTACAAATTAAATATGCACATAATTCATTTTAATTGCAGTTACAAAAAAAAATCTACTTATTTCCCAAGTTCAACAAATAATAACACAAACAGCATTAAAGATACAGACCATCTTCGTCAATAACTCATTGCCACTTCACTAACCTTATTTGGTTTGATTTGTTTAACGCAAAGCAAATTTCAAATTCAGATTAAATGTTGAAAACACACACACACAAAGATTATTTTCAAACCAAAGCATTTATTTTTCAATTTAGTAAAACAGCCAAAACCTAAAAGTGAATGATCAGAGCTGTACAGAAATGCAGAGCCACCATTAATTTTTTTGTTAGATCAAATACATTTAACTGTTTGAGGAATTATTATGTATTGTTATGTAAGAATTTCTATTTAAAATGATTTTAAAAAAATCAAAGAATTTGACAAATCAACTTCAAGGGTAGGGGGGAAATTATCATAATTGATAATTTATGGCAGGTTTTAAAGATAATAAGAAAAACACACTTCGTACTACACAATTGTTAAAAAATCAAAATATATGCAGTAAATTTTGGCGATAACGTAAAGAAAACATAACCAAAATTTTGTGCTGTGTAGACCAACTTTGTAATTTTATTTTCAGTATATTCTGTATATTTTAGTCTAATTTCTTTTTCTAATTAATGTAGGTAATAATGTCAGTATATTCTAATTTCAAAAGGCAAATAAGAGAACTAATCTATTATTCTTTGAATGACTATTACTTTTTTAATTTTAATTAAACTTACTAAATACATTTTTGAAATGGAGAACTTAAAAGCTTTAAAAGTCACAATACCTCTGGTTTCATATGAGTTTCCCCATCCAAAGGCGTAGCAAACTGACACAGTTTGTCTGTCTTTATTTTCATGACAACTAAAGAAGAATCAATATTAAAAAATAATATAATTATCAATAACTTAGATAATAGAATAATATGAATAAATAATAAGTATAACATATAAGTTGTAATATATAATTATATAATTAATAAATTAATAACATAATAAATATAATTAAATCTGTATTACAAAATACATTATACAAAAGAATTCATGTGAAATTAAATACGACAGGCACAGTAATTCAAAATACTAACACTGCATATGCCAGGCTCTCCAGATCATGTTGTTCAGCCTAATTTTTTCCTTCAATCGCAACTTCAGACCCTTGAACTGTTTCCATCTTGGCGATGTTAATTTCCCACTAAAATAATTTCCCAGATCATTAAAAATACAATAGTGATCAGACAGCAAAATTTTACTTTGAAATCAACTTGCAAAACAGGATATTTTAACACAAAATCAGATAAAATCAATCACAAATTCAGACAAAAATATTTAGGTAGAAAATAACAGTCATGAAAAATGCCTTTCAGAAATTTCTGAATTATAAAAAAGGAAATTTTTATTCAAAAGATGATTCATTCAATGCAGTGGTTTTCAGCCTTCTCACCATTTTGTTTCCTTTCTCACTACAAATAAAAATATCACCCTCTCTAAAACTTTTAAATTCAAATAGTGCATAATATGCAGTATAGAAAATACTTTATGTTAATATGCTGCAATTAATCATAAAAGATTTCAATAATCTGGGATTAAAAATTTGTGAATTAATTTAAATTTCTGTTAATTATACCTTGTAAATTCTATCAATTAAAATTTGTACATTTGCATATTCCTTCATTGTTAACTATTAACGGATTATTGAAATATTTTAATTCTTTATTTCAGTTTTCATAATGTATCCTTCTTTCTCTAACTAAAAAAGGAGGTGGATATGGGAGTATCTTTGACAGCTGTATTGTGAAGAGTCGGAGAATTTCTCTTATCCTATTGTTTACTATGTTGATCAGTATAGAGGGGGTTCTTTAACTGCACCCATGAAAATATATCTGGTGAAAGGTTTGTTTTCTGTCAATTAAATCTACTTATACGGCATTCATCTTGCCTTGTATGAACAAACAAACAAACAAAAAAAAAGGTTTCAGTTTTTCTACACGTCCATTATACACATGAAAGAATTCCTTAGTTCTGAGGCATATAAACACTTGGATATTTTTCTTATGGATATGAGCTTCTTTCCATGGGAATTCTTCACAATTTTTACCTTATTCCTGTTGCTTCAGGGAGGGACTTAAATAATAAAGAATCAGCAAAAGCTTAATTTAAATTTTCCTAAGTGACCCAACTATTGATTTGTAGGTGATTTTGGGGATGCAAACCAAATTTTGAAAATCTGTTCCAATCAGAAAGCACCATGGTTTTTTGAGTATTAAAAAAAAGGGCAGGGTTGCAATTGTAAATGAGGAAAATTTGTCCCTTATTTCTTGGATGGAAGGGGCTAGAATTACAGTAACAGTCACTTAATTTGCAGTCCTTGCTTCTAAGAAAGAAAAGTCCGTACTATTTGGTTTCAAGGGCCGTAAAAAATCGCCAAACTATTCTTGATGCCAGTGCTGTCAAAAGTAATTGCGGCAACCCTAACACAAGAAAGGAAGTATAATAGTAAATAACTATTTAAATATTGATGTTTTAATTTAGATGAAAGGTTAATTTCATATAATATTTTGCTCGTTGGTTGTTCAAACATAATTTTCTATAATGAATGATGCCTTTTCTTTGAAAACATTTTCAGTAAAGTGCAGAATCGCCAGCTTATTTCTTTGCCGCTTTTTTACAAGGTTAAAAACAATTGGAATTTTGTCAATTTTCTTTTACTTTTTAAGTGACAATAGGTCGATGTGTACATAGATAAAGTCAAGGGTGTATGCGGTGCCATTTTTGTGCAATTCTGGGATTTTTTTTTAAGTGAAAATAAGTCTATGTGTACATGGATACCAAGTATATGCAATTCTTAAAAACGCGTCAAGCAGTGGGTGATTCTGCACTTTACCCAAAATTCTATCGCAGACTTTCATCATAGGCAATTCCTAAATTGTTAAATCCATAGGATATCAAAAAAAGAATTAAAAATTAAACTAGTATAAGAAATATAGAACTATATAAACTTACGCAATCTGAAATCAGTGCGTACGCGAGATTTGGCACGCTGTTAAATGGACGTGTTTGCTAGATTTGGCGTTTTCGCGCATACACTTTCGCTGCAATTTTTTTATGGCCCTTGAAACCGAATAGTACCAAAAAGCCTGTAAACTTACATTAGATGCTGGGTGGTCAGTTTAGGATTTGACGTCCAAAAAAAACTTGTTTAGAATGTAGATGTACTGGCTTCTGGATTCCTTTTGATCAGGTTTGTTCATTAGCCGAAATTTGTATATTTCAGTCTTTTGGAAAGCAAGACAACATTGAATGCCAGGATACAGTTTAAAACATCAGGGATGCAGATGCTCTTTTGTCATTCCTTGAATGGTTAAGTAAAATGGATTACTCTTTCTACTCATACCAGATACCCTGCGAGCCACTAGTAACTGTTACAGCCAGATTCACAGACATCTACTGGAAATCAACCAATCCTATGGTTGATCATACACTATGTATAAACAAATATGTCAGTTTAACAGAAGCTCACCTGAACATCTAGAACTTTTTCATGTAAAAGTATACATCCCCCCATAAAGGACAGCAGTCAGTTATAAACATTCCAGCGATTCATGCATGTTTTTAGGCCTAGAATTCTGGCAGGAAAATCACTGTACTTCAACTGTGAATTAATTATATTTAATACTGTTTTATTTCAACTAATTTAAATTAATAATTGATAATTAGCAAACTAATTTAAATTTTCTTCAATCACATTTTATGCTGATGATTAGTTAAATCTATGGTTAATCTTCGGATTATGGTAACTTGAAGATTTTTTAGCGAAAATTTGGCAACCAACTCTGCTACAGCAACCTGCTAGTTTTTTTTTTGACACCATTTTGTTTTCACAAAGTAAAGGCTTTTTTTTTTTTTTTTTTTTTTAACTCAACATTTTTTTCCAACAATCTGCTAGCCGAATTACACTTATGCTAGAACTTTTATGGAATAAAAGTGCTTAATCATGACGAAGATTAGGTGTGAAATTGGGAGAAAGTGCAGAATCACCCACTGCTTGCCGCATTTTTAAGAATTGCACATACGCGGTATCCATGTACATGTCGACCTATTTTCACTTAAAAAAACATTCCAGAATTGCACAAAAATGGCATTGCACACACTTTCGACTTTATCCATGTACACTGCTAAAGTCTTAGCTAGTAACCTTTATTGCCTTACCAAAATGTCGCCAAACTACCTGTTACCATATTCCAAAGATTAGCCAAAACTCTCTAATCTATCAATTACACTTTATGCTAGTATTGTACTTGTTTGATCTAAAATCAACAGGCATCAGCAAATATGTCACTAGTAACTCAATAAATGTACAGCTCACTTTAGTGTCACAGCATTTGATAGACTCTTGATTTGACACGTGTAAGCAATCCTGAACTTTCAGGCTGATATGATTTTACTAACAATTCTTTCTGATGAGATTTCTGTTTTCATAAAAGCTTAAAATATTTCTATAAATTTAAAAATAAAATATTCATTTTGAACACCTTTGTCAAGTTTTTGCCCACTTTTCCAATTTCCTGATTACTGAAATATGCAATCATTTGGCATATTTGTATGAGCATGTTTTTATACAATATCTTTTCTTTTTATTTATGTATAATATGTTTATTTTTAAAATTTAACTGATCATCAGCAAAGTTTTCATGATAAAGATGATTAAGTCATATGTGTGACTGCTCACTGATCAACTATTTTATGGTAGGAAGTGAGCTCTTATTTCATCAGACATAATATATTAAGAAAGAGACTTAATGAATATTATATATATGTGTGCGTGTCTACCTTTCTAATAATGAATTAACAGTAACCCTATATATTATCTCTTCATTCTAAAAATAACAAATCAATAACTTTTCTAATATAATCTTTACTCCTTATAATTCTGAAAAAGATACATCATTGAATCTACATTGTGCAATTATTGATGAAATCTTAACCCAGCATCACCATATTAATCTGTTATGTGATCTGAAATGTAGTCCTTATAAAAAGTCTTTTGCTGCACTATTTCTCTCTCTTTTTTGTTTCTACTCTTCTTCCAGGCAGCTCTTTGGTTCGCTGCACTCTTTGCTTTGTCTTGCTGCTAACTATGGCATTATCTAAAATGTGATACACTACATTTATAAAACTGTAGGGTACATATTGCACCCATGATGGTGTGTGAAGAAGAATACGTTTTGATTATTAGTTCAGAGTACAGAAACAAAAATTCTGTTCAATTCGCTCATGTCTGTCTACAGGTCTCTCCTTCATTATGCATCATTCAAACTATGCAAACCTGCAGAAATCCGATACATCTATCACCCAGCGATGAAGATAATTATAGTTGTTATCATTATTATTACAGATTAGTCTAAAGGGTCAGATCAAGTACTGCAAAACTCAATGGAAAATTTATTCTCCAACTAGATTTCGATAAAATATCTACAAAATTCAAAGAAATGTGCTTGCTTGTCTGCAAATCCAAAAGTTCTAACTTCTAGTGGAAACATGAAGTTTATAATTTATTTCAGCTGCCTCTTCAATATTTTGAAGGGGGGAAGTGTGTTTTAAAAGATCAGTGATTTAACACTTAAGAGTTCAGCATTACAGTGGGTTCAAGGTCATGTGCTTGTGCAGGTATATGAAACAGAAAATAACTACTATTTGCGCTTCCGCTTTTCCTAACATCATTTTGTCATTCAAGAATTCAAAACAGCTATGCTCATATGAACTTACACAGGTTCATTTTCCAATGAAACAAAATTATTAAATATGGGTAAAATCCTAGTATACAGTACAGCCTTGGTGTGATTTTGAAAATTGTCGCCAACACCAAAATGACTCATTTACTGCTCATCATGAACACTGCGCTTACTGCTCATCATAATGTCGCCAAATCTCATGTGTACCATATATTAGGATTAAACCTAATATATTGTGGACTTTATATTTTACGTCTAAACATTGTTTGCAATTTGACTGTGCTGTTTTGAAAAAAAAAACCTAAAATTTGTGTTCAAGTAATAATTCAATATTTTTAAAATTTTTTGAATGCATAAATTTTGTGAGTAAAGTTATTTTGTAATGCATTTTTAGTGCTTTTGATATCGTTATCATAGTTTACACTACATATTTCTCTTGGTCATGAAATAGATAATTTGGTCA